TGCTTCTCAACAACCGGACTAAGAATAGCGAACTTCTGTTCCCTTTCGAGAACGGTCTCTCGTATTGTGTAGCTATACGCTATGGGAAAACTCAAGAATATTGAAGCCTTTATTTAAAACACAGTGCAGGCTGATAAGCACGCTGATTGGCTGTGTTGCGGCAACTGCATGAACCTATGGCCGAAGCAGAGGATGAACGAGGATGTCAGAGGATGAACGAGCGCTCGGAGGCGAGCGAGATCACGCCGGGTCCGTCCCCGTGGAAGCGGGCGGCCTTGTCTCGTTCGGAGGATCGGTGGACGAAATGGATGGCAGGGTGTCAGTGGCGGCATCTGAGGGTGAGGATTGGTCGGGCTCAACTTTTGACCCTGCCCCCCCGTCTCAGCTAGATAAAGGCAACACCAGGACGAGCGCCAACGCCGAGCTTATCCGCGTCCTCTCCCGGGCCGTTCAAGAGCTGGAAATTGACTGGTCTTCTCCAGAAGAGCCAGCTAAAACCCGCCTTGATGAGTGGTACCGGCTGACGGCTGACTAAAGCCACTTTCGCTTAAGACCGCACTCCTGCTAGCCCTTGCATCGCTCAAGCGAGTGGGTGATTTACAGCGCTCTCCGCGAACGCTTCCTGTCTTGAGTTTGGGCCCAACGACTCCAGAGTCTTCCTTAAACCGAGACATGGCTATGTACCTAAGGTACTTTTGACTCTGTTCAGAGCCCAGGTTATTTCACGATCAGCTCTTCCCCCGTCGGAAGACGATAGTGACTTGAATCTGCTCTGCCCTGTCAGGGCTCTAAGAATTTATTTAGAGCGTTCTGCCCTGTTCAGGCAGTCGAAACAGCTCTTTGTATGCTTTGGTGGCCGCACCAAAGGGTCTCCGGTCACGAAGCAGAGATTTTCAAGATGGATAGTAGATGCTATCTCTTTAGCCTATGCTTCTATGGGCCTTCAATGCCCCATAGGCATTAGGGCTCATTCCACAAGGGGCATGGCTTCTTCATGGGCCTGGTCCAGTGGTGTACCAATTGAAGACATTTGTAAGATTTTATAACTTGGAAGTGCCGGCTTTGCAAGCACGAATCCTCTCTGTATAAGTGGTCTTGGCCCCTGTTGGGCCCAAACCTCTACTATTCCTTTGAGGGCCCCGACTTTCTGGTCCCCGTTGGATTGTAACTTTTATTTCTGCTATATGTCTCGGGCTTGTTAGCTTTAGGCAGTAGTCAGAGTGAAGTTATTAGGCTAATAGCACAGCGTTTTAAAATGGGTTCCCATAGTGTATAGCTACGCAATACGAGAGACCGTTCTCGAAAGGGAACGTACTCGGTTACTAACGTAACCTCGGTTCCCTTAGAGATAAGAGAACGAGTATTGCGTACCTATTATGCTACTTTCAGGTGCTGTCACTTCAGTCGATTTAACCTGATTCCAAATATCTCTAAGGGAACCGAGGTTACGTTAGTAACCGAGTACGTTTTCCAACTAAAAAAAAAAGCACATGGTAAGTTGATCTATTTTATATTCCTTTTTTTTTTTTATTAGCGAGTTGTTGCAATGCTAGGTTTTGGTACCGTCTTCCAGTGTTAGGACAGACCAGGTTCGATGTCATTTTAATGCTCTGTGGCTGAATGAATGTAATGCATAATAACACAATCAGGGGTTTCCTGTGTTGTGATTTCTTTCGGCCGATACGCAAGTGATATTGCAAGCCAGATGCCGAAGCAAATCTTATGATGTTTATCTCACGTTCCACACTTTAAAAGCTGTAAATATCAGAGGTGGAGGTCTTGAGTACCGTGACTGCATGCAAATTTAAAGATTTCTAATAAATGAAGAAAATGACTTAACTTTGACTTGAGAACGAATACTCTAAGGGTGTACTCACACTAGGCACGGTTGCCATGAACCGGGCCCGAGTACGATTGTCCCCCCTCCCCACTCCCCCTCTGGCCTGCACTCACATAGGGTTTCAGCATTCGTGCCGGAGCACGCTTACGTCATTATGGTGCGTGCGACGGTTTCGGGATAAACAAGAAGAGCGGCGCTCTCTGAACACAATGGAGTCCATCGCTCTGTTTTCTTTGTGGATAATTTTGTGTCGTTTGGTCCACGGTGGTCCACAGCCTGTTGTTAAACAGATGCGTCGCCTTAGTGGCGCGAAAATTTTCACGTAATCGTGCTGCTCGTATGAGGAGGTTTGCAAGGTACCAGCTGAAGTGCAGCAAGGACTTTGCAGCTTTGATTACGAACTGTGTTGGTTTTGGAGCGTCGCAAAACCATGACATCACGCGTCCTGTTCCGTGCTCCAGCACGGTTAGCGCTCACACTGCATGCGAACCGCGCCCGAGTCCAACTGAACCGTGCTCTGGCCCACCTCTTCCAAGCGTGCCAGGGCCGGCTAATCGAGCCGCGCCCGGGCACGGTTCGGAGCACTCACACTAGTCAAACGAACCGCGCTTTGGTGGTCAAACGCACTCGGGCACGGTTCAAACTGGCTAGTGTGAGTACACCCTTAATTAAATCAGTGTCGCACCGCATGACTCGATAATGACTTTATACGAATTGTAATAAAACTTTAAAAAATCAATAAAAAATGATTGCGACATTAGCTAATATACAAACTGCAAGCCACGGAACCAGGGGCGCCGGCGCCTCTGATCAGAGTCTACGTGCATGACGCTGTGCAAGCACAAAACAATACAGGAGAAGAGGAGAATCTACGAATATTGTTTGTTTGGATTTAAACAATTCGAAATGGACCATATTCATAAAAATAAATTTTGTATATGCACAATTTGAAACCCGAACATGGTGTGTAACTGTCTCTTATGGATAATTTCTCATAATATCTAGAGATTATGAAGATATTTGATGTTGAGTTTTCTTGCTGTCTGAAACATAAAATATATGGTGTTTTTCTTCAAATATCTTGTAGTTTTGCAATGTTGTGTGACACAATCTGGATAATTTCTTGAATTTTGTGTCAAGCAAAGTGAACAATATGAGTCTCAAATTAAATTTAGTATGTAATGTATGTGTTTTCTATGAAGATAGAATTCACAGAAGTTAGTGACAAAGCATCATGACATCCAGAAACATTCTCAAATAAAAACCATTAATATAAATAGCAACGTAAATAAAATATTACTAAAATATATAATAGCCTATATATAAATAAATAATACTAATTTAACACTGGACTAATTAAGCTGTTCTAAACCGTTTTTATAAGATTCATATAATTTACATGTAGTTAAACTAAAGCTACCCTTTTGAAAAAGTAGCTATCTAACATAAAGTATGGATATATGATATTATACAATCATATATGCACAAGGCTAATTAGCCTTGGCATATTTAGATTTTGTCTATTCATCAATGCAAATTTACTGCAACTGCTGCAATGCAAATTTAATAGGATGTGGATAAAAATTATTATTATTGTGTTTAATTAATAAAGTTATATTAATTAATTGTGTATTTATTATATGAATAATATACTTCTGCATTTGTATAAATAAGTTCTTTTTTTCTTTTTTTTTTGCCCATGTATAAGGTTGTGAGGATTTGTGTAAAAATTATATAACCTAATGTTGAGTTTTATTATTTTTGTGAGTTGTACTCTATTCACAGATTGGATTATTTTATTTATTACAGTTTTTCACTTCTGAAAAGTAATACAAATTGAATTTGACTGTTCTTATTTACAGCAGTGAAAAAATGCCATTAAAAGAAAATAAGGTATAGCTGTTAATTGCTGATTTTAAAGCTTACTGAACTTTAAATGATTTGGATACAGTTTTACATATAAACACAACATAAGATTGGCCCCTCTGATTAATTGTGGCCCCTCTTGTGCCCCCCCAGTTGAAAAAAATCCTAGAATCGCCCCTTATCTAGCTCTTAACGAGTGCGTAGTAGTCCCTCTAAAACGGAGTGTTAACGCCCGTGGGCGTTTTTTCAATTTTTCAAAACCACTGCCTTGATCAACACAAAATAAATGTCATTTGAAAGCTTAGAGTCTGAACTTTACAATGAATGTAGCCAATTTGAAAAACTCCTAAGTAGTGAGGAGGTATTTGCTGATAAATAGAATTTCGTTTTTTTATAATCTATAAAATACTTTTTTGTACTATGTACTGCACTGTGTCAAAAACATCATACAGCTCATGAAACATTCACAGATCGTTGAAAATGGCACATCTTTTTTACAGCATATTATTACAATTAAAATTAGCCCAAAATGTACATAATCTATTGTGTTGATCACAAGATATTCCTCATGGAGGAACAATTTTAAAAATGCCCGTTAGGGGGCATCAAGGAACGAACGAAAAGGCTATCTTGGTTCTAAATGATGTAACATTTGATTACTTTATGCAATCACCACAAAATTTGATCCAGATGCAGCTCACATGTAGAGGGACTTCACCAAAAAAGAATTGTCCTCCTACCTTATTTCCTCCTAGTTATTCCATGTCCTAGTTATTCTATGCAAAATCAAAAAATATATATTCATATATATTTTGTCTTTTATCAGCAGTTTCTTAGCATGAGAATGTCCAAATGTAATGTAATGTATATTTTCTAAAAATATAAAAAGTGTTCTATCAAACGATACCTACCTTTTGACTCTCCTTGCTATAGTCTTTAGTTTTGTGTGTGTCACTCAGAAAAAACAACTCTAAAAATGCCCTCAGGGCTTAAGGGGTTAATGGAAAGTGTCAGCCAGCACCACTAATAATGGGAGAAATAGATAGTTGGGTAGAGAGAAAGAAGGATCTTTAGGTACAGAAGAACGGAAGGCAACCAGTGTGCCTTGACAGAGCTACAATTACTGCAGGAGGTCATTAATCCTCCCTTACTGTTCACCACATGACTTCCTATAATCATGGAAGCCACTCAGAGCTATTCTAATGTGAATGCGTGCATCCAATTTAGTGTGCAAGCTGTTATTCAAAGTGAGGTAACCATTTTTTGGTATTTTGACATGAAAATTACGCAGTACCTCTAACATAGAGTATGATGCGTGTAACATCCCCTGCGGTTTGGTCAGATGAGATGGTGTAGACTCCTTCATCACTTTCTCCAACATTTTCCAAGATCAGGTGGGTCAAAGCAATGTTGAGTTTGGCACGAAGATCAACCACTTCACCAGATCTCATCAGCGACTTCTCACGTCCTGGAACGATCGAAGGCTTGAACGACACGTCAGCTTTACCTGCAGGCATGGGGATGTGGAAGTCTTCCCCAAAAAACAGAGCCTGGGACACTTCTTGGCCTACAAGAAACACAAAAAGATAGAGAGCGATTTTATTGTGCAACACTATTATTTTCTTCTTCTTAATAAATCATTTGAATAATTAAAAGTGACTTGTTATGTTTGCATTACCTTTTAGAGTTGCAGAGAATGCTAAAAATCCAAAAAGAAAAGAATCAGTGTTTAGATTAACACATTCATTAACAGCAATGTGACATCAGCTATAGTGAAATCATACAGAAACTGAGAATGTATTTTCAATTTATGCAATATTCAATTTAATTACATTTACATTTTTTTCTTTTGGACTTGCATGTCAAATTAAAGAATAAAACATTGATTAAACATCTGTTCAGGCCATATAGCATGTCATACTGTCTAACATTTTTAATTTATTAATAAGACAATTCATATTTACATATTTTTTAGGTTTATTGGAACATTTTAAAGAAAATATTTAAATAATTTTTTTTATGACAAATGCCATTTAGTTAAAGTGCACATCTGACCATTTCAAAGCACAAGAACTAATTTAATACTTCGAGTTTTCTTTTTTTTTGGATTGATATCCAATAGTCATTCCGTGTTAAATCAACAAAATTTCAGAAACTTCTCCAGCTCAAATTTTTTGATTTTGTTAATATTTTTTTTCTGAAGAGAGACGAACACAAGTAGTGATGAAAGCCAAAATATTAAATGAATAAACTATATTGCTGAAAATTGTCAAAATGAAGTTGAAATATCGGGGAAAAAATTACTTTAGGAAGATGGCATTTTAAGAGAGCTATGTTGTATGAAATTGTTTTGATAGAAGGAAAGGAGATACATTTCTAGTTTCTAGTTTTTGTTTTTTCAGACATTCTTCTTTAAACACATTAAGTATCAGCTGTTTAACCAAATATTGTTTTTGACCATTGAAAATGGTTAAACTTCAACAGTTTGAACATGGAGCTGCATTGAGATCTCCATATCAATGGGATTGAACCATACAGGGCCTTAAAAAAAATAAGATTACAAAAGAAAAGTTAATAAGAATGAGATTATAGAAGGATATTGAGATATATTGAATACTTCTTGAGTTACAGGCATGCAAACTTTGGAAAATTAATATTTTTGGCACTCAGACAGGTACAGTATGTTCTATGTAATTGTGTTGATTGAAAAAAATTTGTTTCAACATTATTTGTTCTTCAGATATTCCTCTTTAAAAGAAAATAGTATCAGCTATTCAAAGTAACCCACATTTAGTTTTTGATCACTGAAAATATGTAGGCTACCTTCAATTTACCAATTTATTCATGAAGACACATTGAAATACCCATATCTCTGGAAATGAACCACATTGGGCATTAAAAATTAAGATACTAAAAGAAAAGTTTGTTAACTACAAGAATCTAAAAGAATTTTAAGATCTTTAATAATTCTTGAGTTACAGGCATGCAAACTTGGTGCAAAAAAAAACACACAAGGTTTTTTCCATTTTTGAAATGTCACCGTTGGCATATAATGCAACAAAAATTCAACAGATTTTACTAATAGACCAACCAATCTCTGTGTAAAAATAAAATAATGATGCTGCCATCTTTCTAACGTCATTTTTACCCCCCTGTAAATTGACTTAAAATCTCAGGTGAAAGTGGTCATTTTGAGCCCCCTCTACAAAATAGTGGATTACTCCATTACTGTACAAATATACATCTGTGACATTTAATATTTTGGCTTTTATCACTACTTCTGTTTGTCTTTCTTCAGAAAAAAAATATTTGAGCCAAAGACCTCTGGTTAAATTGACACAGAATGACTCAATACATAATTTAGTATGTATGAAAACGACCCACTTTGTTAAGTAAAATATGCTAAATACATCCATTATAGATGGCACATTTAATATTACTTGTCATGTGGTCAGATATTCATTATAACTAAAAGCTATGTATGTACAGTACACAGTCCTTCCAAGCTGGTACATTCAGAACTCCCCTGACATTTGTGAGAACATTACAGCTCTTATAGAAGATGCATTGTGGATCAGGACTGTAATTAAAGAACTACAATAGCTATTAGCATGTCAGAGCCACTGTCCTTAACATTTCCACACTTGTGTAGGGATAATAATGATACAGAAGATCAACCACTCAAAAGATTCACAAGGACTCTTTCTTACCTGAGTAGAACAGCACGCTTAAGACGATCAGTCTCAGATTCTGCATATTGGCTCTGAAAACATTCACACATGAAAATTACATTTGCATTCAAAGAGGATTTCAATTCTAAACACTGACATTGTAATTGTATAAGTTTCATGGTACATTGCTCAATTGCTCTCAAATTCCGGCTATAGAAAAGGACAACAATGATCAAAATGGCAGTGTTGGCAAATGGACACAGGTCGATTGAGTGCTTTGATGTTGACTTATAAATCTTGGCTGTGACTATAAAACAAGTCCGTTTATGTTAATGTTAGACATACATCTATGTTTTTCAGCTTTTATGGGAGACGTGTGAGCTCTGATCATCAGTCCAAGGATCTAAAAGGGCTGTGTCGAGGAATGAGCCTCTTAAAAGAGCTAGGCTATTTGGACGTGTCAGTAATTGTGGGTTTATTGGCTTGACTTGTGCATTGCTTATCTAACTGACATTGATCTGGTATCTCAGAGGGGATTTATAATGAATAGTAAGAACAGTCAGTTTATTGAGATTCCCGGTTAAGATTCATCACCAATAAATTACATTAGTCAAGCAATTTCATGAGGAATTATGCTTTTAGATACAGTGCTGTCTATGGGTTTGTCTGTATAAATGCACATGGAATGAGAAACATGACATCATTTGGATGGATCATTATCTCCATAATCAGGACAGGATTGGAATGACTGAAGACATTAAAAATGCGAGAGGAAATAAGACTGAATCCGTTAGCCTGGTTTGTTCTACAAAAATCTCTCTTTCCATGTTACATCCCAAAGAAATTCCATGATTTTTACACAACTTTTCTAGTCTGCATTTTCTGTGCTGACTTTAGGCGATTTAAATGCGGTGTTAAACAGAAGAGTAGGCACTTATTGGAAGATGAAAGCAGAAGTAAAATATAATACAAAAATATAATATAATACAAAAATATAATGATCGATATTTAAAAGTGAATAACAGGTGTTATATATATATATATCAGTGTTTCCTCTAGGATTTTTTCCAGCCGTGGTGGCAGGCCCATTTCGCTAGGGGAGGGGGCGTGGCCCATGAGTGATATTCCCACTGGCCACGCCCCCTTATCCCAGGTGTTTAAACTTCCCCTAAGCATTATAACATGAAAGGCGCCAATAAGAGCGGCAAAGCGATTGTGCGCATCCCGTGCGCAGAATGATGCACTTGAAGGAACGCGAAGTCACAGCGTGCAGCGCTTCGCATTGAAAAGTTCAAAGCGAAGAGATTATCTATGCTTAATGTATTATATCTATGCAACAGTTTATTGAGCCTTTTCTTTTAACAGTTTTAAATTTCAGTTAACTTACAGTGCGCATGAAGAACAATTCATAGTGCTCTCTACTCTAGTGCTGTAGTAACAGACACCCGGGAGAAAGGAATATGATTTAGAAAGCGCTATAAACTCTAGCAAGATAAGGTAATTTTATGCAAACTATAGATCTTTATCTACAAATAAAGTATAATAATGGGAACATTGATCTTGAAGAGAGTGTCGTCGTGTTACTGTCGTACCCGAACGTGACGAGCTGTTTGAATGCTGAATGGAGAATGACTGAGGAGAGATGAGTTTCCATTAACTTTAACTTAACGACTTAAATATACATTTTTACCTCACATTATGCTATTGAATGACTTTAGAAGTCTTGGAATATAGTGCGAAAACTTTATGGTGCTTTACAATGTTTTGTATGCCTTTAGTGGGGCTTAACAATAACACATACAATATCGGACCGAGAAGCTGCAGCCGTGGCGGGATGATTTTAGGTGTGGCGGCCCGCCACGGCAGAATGAATGTAGCGGAAACACTGTATTATATATATATATATATATATATATATATATATATATATATATATATATATATATATATATATATATATATATATATATATATTCCAATTTCCATTGGAATTATTTATTATTTTTGAGTAAAAGATAATTTGAAAAAAAATAAAAATAAGTTAAAGATAATTAATTGATGTAATTATTTCCATGACATTTACAGGCCGGGCCCAGGATATCAAAATTTTAACATTCCCTGATATTTCCAGATTTTCTAATGACTGTGGAAACCCATATTTTGAACACAAACTGTACTTTATACTTACAATTAAACTTAGTACATAAAAGTATTATGTTATTCATTAATTGTAAAGGTGGCATCATATAGGTATTATGATCAGTAATGTGGAAATATCAGGACAAACACAATCATTAACAGTCTGAAATAGGCGCGCACTTCACAAATAATGACATGAAAAGATTCCTAAGAAAACCTTTGCCATGCAGGCCAGACATTAGACAACAAGGCAAGCCTCCAGAACAGCAGATGCATTTAGGCCATTCAGTGATTTCATAACAGACTTCTGCTCAGACGTTTGAATATTGCATATGAACATTTTATTGTCATTTAGTTGCAAAAATGGAAAAACAGCAAATAAGTATATATTTTTCTGTCTCTGGACAGTGCTGATGTGTAAATGCGTCGGCGCTTTTTTAGTTTCATATGGACAAAGTGCCATCTGGTCCACTTACATCCTTTCCCTCCCTCCCTCTCAGTATGACACCTCTTACAGCAACCTCACAGTTTCTCTCATATAAGACATGGGCAACATAACATGGAGGCAGAGATGCAGACCAGGTGCTCAAATACAACATAAGATGCCGTTCTCCTGAGTGCAATGCAACAATGAATCGGAGCTCAAATCAACCTGCTGCAGACAGCCTATATGAACTGCAATATCATAAATTGGTTAATTATGCTAGAAGCAGGCTGTGTAAACCAGGGAAATAAAAAAAGATAAATAGGGGCTCAGGGAAATCAAGCTCAACTTTTGGAAAGGTGCTGTATGACTATTTCATATGTGGTTATTGATGTTGGAAGCAGGTCATCTCCTAAGAGACCAGGACTGGGCATCTGGAAATTACTTCCAGATTATTTCATTCAGACTCTTGCATCATAATAATAAAGCCTTGAACCAGACTATTAATTCAAAAGGCGATAATGTAGTTAGAATGGTCTGATGTATGACATGAAAGGCGATGAGATCATGGTTGTGTCTTACAACCTAGTGAGCTGTCTACCTAGGCACCATTTTGGGGCATCATTATGGTTAAAAATATGGCGTATAGATAAGCATCTGAATAGGTTTTAAGACACAGAGCAGCGGGGGCGCCGAAAGCTTGACATGTACCGCATCTCCTCTCAATTTCAGACGAAACCTTCAAATGATCTTATCACCTCCCAATCATAAAACTATTTGTCAGTCAAACAAATTTTCTCTCGGTCACACGATGAGAAAGATCGCCCACACATGTTCGGGTTATTACGGTGCACAGACGACGAAATGAAATACGCCGCAATCAACCGGCAAAATTAGACTTAAATAAGAATTATACATAGGCTATACAATTTAGAATATTAATGTTATTATAAAACTGTCATTTTTCGAGCTCATCGCGACAAATACGTCTAATTATCATATTTGCTTTTCTCATCTTAATTTTTCGGTAATTTCACCACAAAGCATATTTTAATGGAAACATTTGATATAATACAGGATGCTTAACCTGCATTCGCGAGCTGACGGGGCATTTATGCTATGCAGTAACGTTAACTTAACCGACCGCAAATCTCTTCAACAAGCCTAAATGCTCTTCTAAACCTCTAAATATGAATCTTGCGCCTTATTGTATTCGCGTTCGAACAGCAAACATCAACTTTATCCAATTGGAAAAGTACCAGACGAAGCAGAAACTGCAGAATTTAACCCTTCAATTCCTGCAACCCAAAGCCAGCTGCCCGTTTATGACATCCCTGCCGCAAAATTGATATTCTCCCTTACCGTGTTCACAGCTCACCTTCAATATGCTCCTCGAATGATAGAGTGTAAAAGGGGGGAAATTCCGTTATTCGTCCTTTTCTGCTTCCTTTCCACCACGAAAATCACTTAAGGACTAAGTTGCACCTCAGGAATCCGTCCAGTATCTCGCCGCGTCTCGAGTGCGCTCGGTAAAGCCCGGCACTTCAACCCCTTATGGGCGTGTCAACGGATCCGAACACACTCAGACAACCTTTGCAGAACCGACGTGAAGGTCTTTAAGGTGTTCTTCAGATCGATCCATCACTGAGACCAACGCCCCTATGAATAAGAATGTGCACTAGACCATTTTGCCGGTTTTATCTGCATTTTGCTTCAATTGATCAACAGCTTTTTAAACACTAAAGGGCACAAATCCACAATGTCTCTGTATTTTGGCTTTGAAAGTGTTTATTGAAATATTACATTAAAAAATTAGAGAAGCTCATTCTCCCTTCACTAACAAACTCATCATTCATCGACAGCCACCTCACACTCTCACATTCACAGGAATCGGTGGGTGTGTGGTTACAAGCCTAGCAGCATCTCATCTAATTAATTTCGGTCTTAATAAAACTGGGATGTTATGTCACATTTTCATCTTGTGCAATCTGATCTTAAACGTCCGTGCATAAATCAGATTCTGTCTTCTGCACAAATGTATTACAAGGAAAGACCTTTTCTGTCATTGTCACTACTTCCTACAGCCCCTGGCAGCAGCTTTGGGGGCTGCAGGCTGATTGGATGTGTTGAGAGAGGAAGTGAGAGAATAGGCCTGCAGGTCAACTCTCTGCTGCAGAATGCCAGTCAATAGGAACTCTGTGCTGACCACGGGCAATGACATACTCACTGCCTTCTGACAAAGCGCCCTGTCCTGTTCACATGACACCACCACAGTGTTCTTCTGAATAGAGAGGGAGAAACCACAATAAAATATGGGAATATGTAATATGTGCATTCAAATAAGAGAATATATGCATTGGTTCTGGGTACCTTCTGAGCAGAAGGCATTTTAGGGAGGAAACGTGCACCGCAGCAGGTGATGATTTCTTTCATTTGAGATGGTTCTGGCATCACAGATGGGGTTACGTGAATCTCATAACCCTATAAAAGCAAAATTAGAGGAGAGAATATGTGTGATGGAAATAGTACACTTTGCCTTTAAAAGAGGGACTAACCTTTAAAAGAGGTTGACTTTGAGCGGTTTGCAGTGTCTTCTGTAGGCTGAAACTAAACTTCTTCTCTTGCTCGACGTCTTTCAATATGTATTCATCAGTAGAAAGGAAATGGCCAACTTTTCCACACTGGGGGAGAAAAAGAGGATGTTGTCACTGTGTCACACTAAAATTCAAATTAAAGTTCAAAATAAAGTCTGTATTATGTACTTGTTAGACTTCTTTAATTATATAGGTAGAAACCCTTAAACAGATTCTATATATATATAAAATCATCAATACCATAAAAAACATTCTTGACCAGGAAATCATAGAGTGACAAACATTTTTTTAAGTTCAGGAAAATTATTTGTATGTTAATCATTGTATACATGATTTTTCTTGATTTTACAAAACTGGTAATAATATTTCATAATATTACGGTTTTTACTGCATTTTTGATTAAATAAATGCAGCATTGGGGAACATAAGAGACTCACCGGTAGTAGAGTATGTGTGTTGAATGTGTAGGGTTATTAAAGCATTAACATAGATCATCTACGGCAGCCTTTCTCAAAGTGGGTGCCGCGGCACACTGGGGTGCCCCCTGACTTTGTCAGGGGTGCCGCCAAAAAATTACGTAGGCTGAAAATATATATATATATATATATTTGAATTTACATAAATACATTCTTCTTCTTTTTAAACATATGAACGTATTAATAAAATTGTAAATTCATTTTAGATAAATATATATATATAAAATTAACCATAAAAATCCGTCTCACAAGACCGAAGCAAGACACACACACAACTTGACGCAAGTGACGCAACCCATCACCGCGTTATAGCAACAACACCGACCGCGACGCGCGTCACACAGCAAACTGCAGGCTCTGACAAACACACATACAAACTATACTACACTTCTGCATAATGTGTCTCTTTTTACAACAAAAATGTGAATTCTGCCGGTATTCACAGTCTCATGCAGATCCGGCCTACAATCGCCGACGTAGGCGAAATTTGTTTGACATTTCTAATCGTAAACACAGCCATGTCGAAGCCTGCAGTAATGTTTTTCATTGATGTTATGGCAGTCCACTCTGCTTATTGTTTTTCGAGAATCTTGCACTCCTGTTTGTCATTGTGCACGAAACTTCATGCCAATAAATCATCAGAAATATTGCTGACTTGTGCGTCTCAAGCGCACTCTTTACGCTCGTCCTAATACCTGTTAGTTGTCCGTGGATTTGCCTATATTTGGCGCTGAAAATGGAAACGTCTTTAGACATGGAAATTCGATTTTACAATCGATTCAATTAACGTTTATGTCTCAAAAATCGATCAGGATTTTTTCACAAAAGTGATAGCCCTGTAAAGTTGTTATTATTATTGTTATTGTTATTTACAGTTCGTATTATGCTCTGTTCATTACTGTTCTGTCTAAATAAACAGGACATTTGCATTTACATTTGGGTTATGCAGTGTTTTTAATTTATATTTTACACTGGGGTGCCTTGAGATTTTATGCACGTTTGAAAGGTGCCCCGACTGAAAAAAGTTTGAGAAAGGCTGATCTACGGCACTGTTGTACACTTTTTTGTTGTATATTGTCACCCAAAACAGAACCATTTTCAATGTTTGAGAACACCTCACAATGCATTTAAAAAGATACATCAAACCAACATATGCATTTTATGGAAGAAAAGTCAGATAAGGATTGTGGTTTTTAGGTTTGGCTTGGTTTGAATCGGGACCTTTCTGTAATAATCACTCCCTCACCTTCTTTAGCCAATCAGGATTCACGATTGGCACCCCTCTGGCAACAGCGCACAAAAACTTGACAGTGCGTCTTGCTTTATCAGTCACCAGGTGAGTCATATCGTTCACCCCTCTCGCCAGACTTCCACCCAATTGAGAGACCACTCTCTCTCCATCTTCATCCGTCAGCCCAGTGAATAACACCTAAAAGAGAAGAAGACAGATTGGTGTCATCCACACAGTGACAAAACTTGCTAGTTAATGTCTGTATCTGAGGGTGTGTGTGACCTTGTACGCCTGACTGGAAACAGAGCGCCTTGGAGTCTTGGGTGTGGGCGACGGAGCCTCTTCTGTGGATGTGCTAGTGTTGGCTGCTCTCTTGCGACCTCTGCTGTTGCTTTGGGGTACAGAAGTGTCATTTACCATCTCTGCATCTTGTTCAAGCTCATTGCTCATTCCGACATTTACATTCTCCACACCAGAATGCCTGCCTCCTCTCCCCCTGCCTTTCCCAGAAGTTTTAGCTTGGGAAACTTCCTGCGGTTCTTGTAGCTTCACACTCTTCCTGCCTCTGCCTCTTCCTCTCGTCCCTTGGTTTGACGTTATGACACTATTAGCAGACCTCTCAGAACTTCTAGAACTGGAGCGGGATCGGGAACGGGTTGTTGAATTGGGGTCCTGCTCTTTGTCTTCGACTCCAATAGCTAGTCCTCTCTGGCTAGACTTTCTAGCACTGATTGGTTGCTCATTAGTTGTCTCTCTCCCTCGGCCCCGGCCCCGTCCCCGTCCCCTGCCCCGCCCTCGGCCTCTCTGGATGGATGGCTCCTGTTGTGAAGATACAGATTGTTCCGAGTTCATAGAGGAGCTTGAACAACGCCGTGATCGTCTGGCAGGAAGAACAAGAGGAGTTTCCAGTTCTGTTTTGTCCTTCTCCAATTGCTCATTCTTTTTTGCTTCCTGATGGTTCCCATCCTCCGTTTCTTTTTGTTCTCTTGCTCTCATCTGAAGCTCCTCATTTTCTTGTTTCTCCTTTTCTAATTGTTCTCTCTCTGCCGCTAATCTTTCCTTCTCTTTTTGTTCTTTCTCCATTTGAATTCTTTCCTCTTCTTTTTGTCTTTGTTCTTCTTGTTCTCTACTCTCTCTCTCCAACTTTTCCTTCTCTTCTCTTTCTAAACGATCCTTTTCCTCTTTTTCCCTCTGTATTCTCTCATTTTCTTTTCTTATTTTTTCCTCTTCCCTTTTCAGTCGTTCTTTTTCCTCTAATTCCTGCTGCTCTCTTTCCAGTTTTTGCCTCATTTCGGTTTCAGCCCTCTCCCTCTCTTCTTGTTCCTTTCTCTCACGCTCCAGTCTCTCCTTTTCTTCCCTCTCTACCCTATCTCGCTCCTCCTGTTCTTGGAGTTCTTTCTCCATCCTCTGTTTCTCTGCTTGTGCATTCCTCTCATCCAATCTTTCCTCTTCTTCCTTTTCACTGCACTTATGTTTTATACCTGTTCTTCTGGTTCCTCTCCTCGTAGTTTTTTCCTCTTCACTCTCTCCCTCTTCCTCAGACAATGCTTTCCCCCTCTTTCTTTTCCCTTCCTTCCCTTTTCTGGTTTTACCTTGGACTTTGCCAGATGAAGGTGTCTCACTCTCCACCTCTGTCTTGTCTTTCCTATGTCTCCTGCTAGTTCTGCCACTAGGTTCTTCTTGAGCGTTTTCCTCACACATAGGCTGTGTTTCAACAACCATGAGATCAGAGTTTGGTTCAACAGACTGAGCTGGTTCACCTTCATCTTCTTTTTTTCCTCTGCGAGATCTGTTGGATCTGATGATACTCAGATTTTCATCCCTTCCAGTTCCATCCTCACAAACAGGCTGTGATTCTGTGATAGTGGAAAGGGAACTGACGGCAGCTTCAGCAGGTTGTGGAACGCTATCCTCATTTATCTGTCTTCCCCTGCGGGATCTCCTGGATTTGATTCCACTGCTCAGATCTTCATCTCTTTCAATCACTTCCTCAGGAACTGGTTGGGTTTCTGTGATAGTGTGATGAACCGCAACCTCAGAAGTTTGTGGAACCTCATTGTCTTTCTTTGGTTTTCCTCTGCGTGATCTTCTGCTTGACGTTTTACTGCTGAGGTGTTTCTCCTGTCCTTCATCTTCCTCATGCATAGGCTGTGTTTCAGCTATAATGAAATGGGAGCTGGAGGGTTTTGGGCGTTCTGTGGAGTTGTGTTCATCTATCTGGCCTGTGCTAACTGCCTTAGTCAGATCTTCATATGGTGCTTCTTCTTCACACATAGGTTGAGTTTCAGCGAAAGTGACACAGGATTTCAAGCGTGTTTGAGCAAGCTCTGGAGATCTGAATTCATCTGTTTGTTGTCCTATACTTGGTACAGCGTTGTTGATCCCACTCTTCAGATCTTCATCCGATGCTTGTTCCTCCTCACACATCAGTTGCGTTTCTGTGATAGTGTGATGGACAACATTCTCAGCAGGTTGTGAGGCTTCCTTTTCTTTTTTTGGTCTACCCCTGCGTGATCTTCTGCTAGGCATCTTGCTGTTGAGGACTTTCTCCTGCTCTTCATCATCTTCACCAACATGTTGTGTTTCAGGGATTTCAAGACTGGAAGTAGAGGCTTTTTCAGTTTGTTGTATGGGTTCGCCTTTGTCAGTTTGTCTTCTACTGACCTTGTTCAGATCATCCTCTGGTGCTTGGTCTTCCTCAAACATTGGTTGAGTTTCAGCGATGGTGATATGGGACCTGGTAGGTTTTTCTGTATGAGTACTGCTGATCACATTGTCCTGATCTGGTGCTTCTTCATCATCACCCATTGGTTGTGTTTCAGCTATGGTGACATGGGAGCAGGAGTTGTTTTCATCAAGATATGCAGAATCACATTTCTCAGGCGGTTGTCTTGTACTTGGTTTCTGAAAGCTGTGCCCACTCAGATCAACATCTGTTGCTTCTTCTTCCTCACACATGGGCTGAGTTTCAGCAATGATAAGATAGGAGCTGGAGTGTTTACTTTTGTGTACTTTTCCTTCACCATCGATTCTCCTGCCTTGTTTAATGTTCTCCTCCTCTTCACCCTCTTGCGTTTCATTGATGGTATCTGCCTCCATGAGCTGGGTGGGCTCACTCTGATAAAACTCTTTGTCTTCTCCCTCCCAGATGAGTTGCGTTTGAGCTGTGAAGAGAGAAATGGGCTGTGTCTGCTCTTCTCGTCTTGGGGTGCTGGCGATGATTATAGTGTCTGCTGTGGAAAGGTGAGAGTAATTAGGTGTCTCTTCATCCTCCTCCTCCACATTTGCTACAGGAATGAACTGAGTTTCAGCAGTGGAGAGGTTGGAGTAGAGTTGGGTATGGCTCAGTGGCTCCTCCTGTTCTTCCTCTCTGTCTGTCTCTGTGCCATATGCCTGCGTAGCCTCAAGATCAAGCTGCTTTGGCTTGAACCCAGCACTGGCCCTAGCAGCTCCTGGATTTGACATTAAAGACAATGTATGGGTTCAGTATAAGTTAAGCTCAACTGAATGCATTTGTGGCATGATATTGATTAGCACAAAAAAAATATTTTGACTCATTCACACAAAAAAGGGGAAAAAAATAAAAAAGCTGGGTTATAGTGAGGCACTTACAATGGAAGTGAACAAGGCCAATTTTTGGAGGATGTAAAAGTAGAAAATTGTTGAAATTGTAATGTAACTTTCATTCATTCTGTTAAAACTTGTATTATGTTACGTTGTGTTGTCACGATAAAGTTGTAAAACTGAACATAACTTTAGAAAGAAAACGTTAAGCATTATTTTCACACTAAAAATCAACATGAATACTGTGTGGCTATACTTTGAAATTTAATATTTTAATGTTTACGGATTGGCATTTCAACTTTTTTTTTAAAGTTGAAAATATTGCTGTAAATAACATTGTGCTACAATTGCTGTTAATTGAATTTAACTTGTATTGAATCCTGAATATTCCTAATAACGGTATTCAAGACTTTAAGAAAATACAAAAATGTACCATTAGCAGCAGTTTTACAGTTAACTTAAAAATTTAGCAATTTTAGACATTTACTGTTTTGTGAATACGATAATAAAAAAAGAATGAGATTAATAGGCAGGAAGTGAACGGGATGGTTACCATATACTTGTGTGGGCGGTAGGTCCCAGTCTTCCAAGTGACCAAAAGCTTGGGTTGGTTCCTCAAGACAAGTCTTTGCTTGAGAATGGTGGTCTGTTTTTTTATGGGTGCTCTCTTCTGACTGCATTGCTTTGCCACCCACATAAGCCTTATGACTCTCTGCAACCTTCACAGCTTTGCCTGGTACAGGTTTAAAAGGATCCTCATCATCTGTTTCACTGTTTGACAGAAGATCTCTGGCCTTTATCTTCTCCTTGTCCTCATTCTCTTCATCTACATCTGTGTCACTGTCCATGTGGAGCTCTGTCCCTGGAGTTGATGTAGGTCTGACATCACTTCCCTCTCCAATGGGATGTGAAACCTCTGTCACCATGGAAACCTTCATGGGATTTTCATCTTCAACATCAGTGTCACTGTCCAAGTTGAATTCGGTAGGTGGTGGTGCTGATGAAGTACTTTCTGCAACGGCTAAAACTTCTGCTTTCTTTTTGGAGACATTTTCAGTTATAGGAGCCTCATTCTCCTCAACATCAGTATCACTGTCCATATGAAGATCTGCTGAAGGTACTGATTTTACCTTTGGAGCTTCTTCAATCAGAGCCTTTTGTTCAGTCTTGCTTTTCTCTTCCTCTTCTTCAACCTCTGTATCACTGTCCATATGAAGTCCAACTGAGGATACGGATTTATTAAGAGTTACTTCATTTTGAGCCTCTGGTTTAGCCTTATTTGCCTCTGGCTCCTCTTCCTCAACATCAGTATCACTGTCCATATGAAATTCAGCTGAAGGTACTGGTCTCACCTTTGGAGCTTGTTCAATCTGAGCCTTTGGTCCAGTTTTGCTTTTCTCTTTCTCTTCTTCTTCAACATCAGTATCACTGTCCATATGAAGTCCAACTGAAGATACAGATTTCTCTAGAGTTATTGCTTCCTGAGCCTCTGGTTCAGCCTTACTTGCCTCCGGCTCCTCTTCCTCAACATCAGTATCACTGTCCATATGAAATTCAGCTGAAGGTACTGGTTCCACGTTTGTAGCTAATTCAGGCTGGACCTCTGGTTCAGTCTTGCTTTTCTCCATGTCCGCTTCAAAATCAGTGTCACTGTCCAAGTTGAGAGCTAGCAGGCCAGGCTTAGATGAGTTAGAACAGGGTTTACCGGAGGTTTCCCTCAGTCTGAATCTGTCCATTGAGGCTGAAGATGGAGTGATGGAGCTCTCATCCTCACTGAGAAGATAAGACAGAAAATGGTGAAGTTTATTTTAAGCACAAGAAAACTAAGAGTATTTGTAGAGCTGCACGATTAATCGTTAAAAGATTGCGATCTCAATTCAAACACCCAAATTAGGGCTGGGCGATAAAACGATAACGATAATTATCGCGATATAATTTTTCTCGATAAAACGATATCAAGAGGTCGATAAATGTTCGATAATGTGTATGCGCCAAAAGCGGAACGAAACTCATTTGAACCGCGCGCCACACGGACCGTTTAACCGCTCGGCTCAAAGTCCAAATGGCAGCGCGAGCTCACTAGAGCAGACCAAGGGGGTAATCCATCGACCGGAAGTTGAAGTCGGCCGGGTGCCGCCATCTTGTAGCAGAACTTCACTTGCGTTAGCATTTCCATTGACTCCCATTCATTTTGGCGTCACTTTGACAGCGAATAACTTTACATCTGAGGCGTTTAAAGACTCCATTTGTCCATTATTTATTTCTAAAGAAACACGACAATGTATAAAAGGCTCCATTACCTTCTATGTTACGTTATGGCCCCGTAGAAACAGATTTAGTAAAAATAGGCTAACGATTGCGTCATAACCACTCGACTCTCTGTCGCGCTGTACAGAAATTACCGTATAGACAGAAGTAGAAACTCGCGCGCGATCGGGGGGACGTCGAGGCATAAAGTCAAGGGAGAAGCCCATAGAGAGTTGTAAAGCTGCTCCTGCTGCGAGCTCATGGACAGCTAATACTCACGATCTCCGGCTCTGCAAGTTTCGGAAGGGAATGATTCAGATTCCTCTTGGCACAGCTACTAGAAGATTAACGTCTGTCAGACAGGTTGCTCACGTCATCAAGCTTAGTTTGAGTCGGTTTGAGTCTGCGCGTCAGGAACGGAAGTGCTCAGAAATCGCTAAAAATGGGCTTCAACTGTCTCAACTGAGTTCCAATGAGATGGCTCTGTCCATTTCTTTTACTGTCTATGGAGCAGACGCGTTCGTCTCGCTCACGAGATCCAGTGAGAAGCGCTTAAGTTCAGCGAAGAACACAAATGTCCAGTTTAAATCAGTTTAAAGGCAGATGAAACACCGCTGACAAACAGGAGAAACACTGTACGCAACGATACAGTCAGAATCTGAATGGAAACTGAATCCATTTAGCCTACCATGGATTTACTGTAACGTTAGCCTAGTAATATTAACTGCACCATGAAATGTGGGATATACATATTGAATTGTATAATATTATTAATGTAGACAATGTATTAAATGACTAATGGAATATAATTACAGTATTTAATAATGTATTTAACTGTTTGTAGGCTAATGTAGGCTACTGTTTTTCATACAAAAACCATAGAAACCATAAAGTTACATTTTGCCATGATAGTGAGGTGCTAAGTTATAGGCTGTACCTGGCTTTATCTGTGGTTATCATGATCTAAATCCATGATACTGGATGACCAATGGTTAATTTTAATAAAACTCAAACAGTCAGAATATTACATTTTACCTAATAAAAATGTGGTCCTTAAATAAAAAACAAACAAACAGATGTTACTGTTTTTGTTAATGAACATAAATTTAACATAGTAGCATTAGCTTGAGTTAGGATGTAGATTTACTGTCAACTCACTGTCGAATATGCATTTCGAGACAAAACATGTAATTTGAATATTGCAGCCTGCACTGCAAACTGTGCTGAAGAAATATTTTTCTTTTCAAATATTTATTTTGTTAAGGAAAAATGACAAATGTTTGAATGTTCTACCTCAGATTTTTAAAACCACAATGCTCTGGTTTATACAACTTTCACTTAGGAGCAAAAATCTGCCTTTAAACTTGAAAGAAATAAAGATTTGACATTTATCGTGATAATTATCGATATCGACTGATATAAAAAAAAATATTGTGATATTTTTTTTGGGCCATATCGCCCAGCCCTAACCCAAATGATCTCATTCCTAAATGACAACGATTCACCTGTGTCTAACCTTTAACGAAATCACACGAGAACATTCAAATCTATGTTTGTGCTAATCTATGAATCGTGCAGCTCTATTTATTTCTACAATATATAGGGAAAATCCCATAGGTGTATTGCACAGTTTAAAACATTAAGGTGCAATTCATTAGTGAAATTTTGAGGACCCTGTAGTGTCCATTGTTAATACTTTAACAATGTATGAAGCACAGAAAGCACTTTAAAACCAAGCAGCTTTGTGGTTAATTTGAGTGACCAACTTCAACCCGATGCAAAATCTGTGAAAGGGAAATCTTTCGCCCCCACTCAAAATTTCCAATCACATGGATTCCTACTAATTACAGGATTTTGTCTGTGAAATTCAGAAGAAACTATATTATATTGAGAACCTGATCATCATAAAAGTTAAACTACATGAGAAGGCAAGTGACATTTACATCCAAATGGCAATTAATCTATAACAGAACCTCAAACGTGTCTGAACTCATTTACTGAATAGAAAGTGCTGTCTGTGTGCCTGTCACTGCATGAATTTGCATCAAGGCAGGCAGATCTTTTTTTTCCTTCACTCCATTGTTTTAGGTTGCTTCATAAATACCTATTTTGCAAAAGGCTGATTGGCTAAACAGGTTAATAGTAACCTAATAACAGCTATTAATAACACATTTTTTGTTTCTTATAAAGATTGATGGGACTCATTGAAACTTTCAAGCTCATAAAAATAAAGTTAGAGTGAAATTAATCTATATGATTCAACTGGTATATTGTAAATGTTCTGAGGTGACACTTCAAGCCTTAATGTGCTTTCAAATCATATTTTTCAAACGCAAAAACTACAACAAATGGGGCAATACGAACCTCAATGGTTCTTGCACATTGCATGACATTTAAATTTGAGATGAAATAATGGCTTATATTTCTATCATACAACACAATTGCGTTGACTTAACTGAATTTACCAGCTGAGTCGTATTTGGATATATCACACTACTTTTATGTACATTTTGGTCCCGTTGACTTTTATTACATGGACAAAAAAAGGTTCTTCAAATATATTTGAAGTGTTCTTTTGTGTTCTTCAGAACAAAGAAAGTCAATCAAGTTTGAGGGTAAGAAAACAATGACAGAATTTTCACATATGGATAAACTTTCTCTTTAAGTATAGTAATATCACATATCAGTTGCCCTGCTTTATGCAGTAACACATCAACATTATATAATCAAGCAATTATGTCTATACTAGCTGGGGAAAAGTTAAAAGGGAACATTAAAAAAAACATTCAACCTACCTCTCTGGAATGACTTTTTTTGCAGGGGTTAGGAATGATGAATTTGTGGAACTACACAGATAAGAGGAGGACGCTGAGTCTGAAACTATAGCAAAAGAGAAAAAAGAAAGCATGAAAATAGTGTGCTACCATAGCTTTCAGTAATATTCTTAGGTCTCACTTTACTTACCAAAATCTTTCCTCTCATCACTCTCTCCTTCTGAACCGGAGTCTGATTCAGGTACCAGGGTGATCTCAGGATTTTTGTGAGCTGGCTGTGGTGAACACATTTTGGGTTCTTCATCCTCAGGGCTCCATAAAGGCACAGGAGGCAAGGCACTCCTCTCTTTCTCTTTCAAACCATTCTGCACGCCTTTCCTCAACTTTGACTCCGAGTCACTGCTTGATAGCGGCGAACTATCCTTTTCCTCCTTTTTGGAAAGTGCTTTCTCTGGGGTTTTGTGTGTATCTCTCTTCGAGATGTTCAGGCCAATGTACTGACATGGCACATCAGCGATCACCACACTCTCTCCCTCGGTCAAAGCATATCGTACCTGAGGCGTCAGCTTGAATCTGCCTTTTCTGGTTCCATTCATACTGCCCATGTCCCATAAAAGTGCTTCCACAGCATCACCATTACCGGAGCGGCTGCTGCTAGAGCGGAAAACCGAGATGGAGATGACAGCATGCCGACCGGACACAGATCGGGCCGGAAGAAGAACAGAACAGGCAGCAGGATCACGGCCCAAGACATTCTCTCCGACGTAGAGAGGGAATTCTAAATGAATGTGTTAAGAGAGAAAAAGTGAAAATGATGCCATAATTTCAATAATGTTCAGGAAATATTAGTTATACAATATCACATAAGGTAGTCACGTTTATTGTCTCACCTGTCTCTGATATGTGGTCATTTTTAAACACCTTCAGTGTAGCTAACTGTTCTCTTTCTGGTCTTCCTACTTTCTCCTCTTCCTCTTCTTCTTCTTCTTCTTCAGAGAAAGGATCCTCAATCTGCTGAGTGGCATCCATCTTCCTCTCTGGTTAAATGATCAAGAGTGATGTTACAACAGAAATACGGTTGTTATGGATACCACTCACAATGTAAATAAAGATGTTTTAAGCCCGAATGTACACACACAACTTAAACAACATTGCTAATATCATCACTCTCATTTTTATGATTAGTGGAGATGTATATGTGTGATAAAAGTTTACTTAACACATTTGGCATGATATTAGGACACTTCTGACTTTTTCATTATTTCTTAATCGAATATGTTTTGCTTAGTGCCACAGTGGAAGCAGTTAATTGGCTAGAGAAATGAAAGCAATACTTCTCATGAAAGTTTAATCAGAAATAATGCTTCCGTTCATAATGCAAAGGTAAACATGCAAAACATGGCCATTGTTTACGTTTGTGCTGGTATATCGTGCATTATCCACTGCATTTAATAAAAACGTGCGCTTACCTTACCATGCAGAACACTTGGAAACCATTTCCTGAAAACTAAGGACCGCCTTTTAAACGAAGACTACTGATTCGCTAGTCAAGCTGTCAGTCAGAGAGTGAGCCTACACTGATTGGGTGAAAATGCGTCACCGCGGCTTGATTGGTCAACTGAGAAATAGCAGTCGTCTTTGTCCAAAGTTTTCCGCGCTCTCTGCAGAGGGGGCGTGTTTGAAAGTGTTTTTCCTAAAAAAAATCTGGATTTTTGAGAAGCCATATTTTGATATATTTCTTACTTTTATATGTCTGAACCTCGCAACTAAGGTTAATTTATTAAAATCTATTTCAAAGCAATTAATTAAAAATAATAATAATAAAAAAAACGATATATATATATATATATATATATATATAGTATTACGTATAGGCCTCATATATGCATATACTCTCATACATTTGTATATCGTGCTGTACTGTATTATGAATCATGTGTTTAATGCGGGCAATTCACTAAGTCATTATTCTTCTAAGTGCAATCTAAGTGTGACTTTATTGGTTCGACCTGAGCTTCTTCAAGAATGTGTAGTGTACCATGCCAAAAAACACAGCAAAGACTTGATTATTAACGAAATCGTTTTCATTTTTATTTTGGTTTTCTCCTAGAGGCTCAGGTTTTTTTTTCCACACAGGGACAATAAAGGAACATCAAAACACTTAAAATATGACATATATGCAGTAACACTTAAAAGTATGGGCTCAGAAATTAGACATAACAGAGTCCAAAATTGCACCAACAATCAATTCAACTTGCTAAAACTTTCTTTCCATCTGCATAATCTAAAATACTTTCCTGTATCATCCATTAATCAATGTCCTCCTGTAGACGTTGGCTAGCGTCCAAGCGAGGTTAAGATTAAATAACCCTGTTACCCTGAACCTGTTATTTTGTCTTTCTTTCTTTCAGTCCTTTTCTTTTCCTTCATTTTTCACACAACATACTTTTCTCTTCGAAACATTTCTTTAAATACTGTGATCAGACCCATTGAGGTCACGTTGAAGTGCCATAATCTCACAGAGTTGCCCTGTTCTAGTGCAATAGTAACAAAAGAAAACACAAAAAACACCATAATAATAATAATAATATGCATAATTTGCAGACAAAAAGAAGCAAATGTTAAAAGTAAAGAAAAATTAGATGTTACTGTCCTCCTTGTCCCTACCATCTATTCAATTATAACATTGATTCTAACTGGATTTTTGCCTTTTTTTTCTTCCTTTTTCTGTAAAGAGAGCAGCTGAGCTGACCATCAGAATAGTAAAGAAATACACAAAAAAGTGAGCAATTTGTAATTGTAAACCCGGTTATCCACCTATTCTGTGTTTAAGAACATTCTTTCTGCCTTCCTCTGGTTATTTTTGGCCCCATTGGTCTAGCGCTAATTCCTACTTCATCTGATTGAGACACTAAAAGTTGTTGCCATGTTTTCCTACATTTACTTGAACACACTATTCCCCCCCCCCAAACACCCTTTCATTTCCTTCTTAAGCATCATCATCTGCCTCTTCCTCAAACTCGCCCTCTTCTTCGGCGGTGGCGTCCTGGTACTGCTGGTACTCGGACACTAAATCATTCATGTTGCTCTCCGCCTCTGTGAACTCCATCTCATCCATCCCCTCTCCCGTGTACCAGTGCAGGAAAGCCTTACGCCTGAACATGGCCGTGAACTGCTCGGAGATGCGCTTGAACAGCTCTTGGATGGCCGTGCTGTTGCCGATGAAGGTGACGGCCATTTTGAGACCCCTAGGAGGAATGTCGCACACGGCGGTTTTGACGTTGTTGGGGATCCATTCCACGAAGTAGCTGCTGTTCTTGTTCTGGACGTTCAGCATCTGCTCGTCGACTTCCTTCATGGACATGCGGCCACGGAACACGGCGGCGACGGTCAGGTAGCGCCCGTGTCTGGGATCGCAGGCTGCCATCATGTTCTTGGCGTCGAACACTTGCTGTGTGAGCTCAGGCACGGTGAGGGCGCGGTACTGTTGGCTGCCTCGGCTGGTCAGAGGGGCGAAACCGGGCATGAAGAAGTGCAGACGGGGGAACGGAACCATGTTGACTGCTAATTTCCGCAGATCTGCATTTAGCTGGCCGGGGAAGCGCAGGCAGGTGGTGACGCCGCTCATGGTGGCAGAGACCAGATGGTTGAGGTCGCCGTATGTGGGAGTGGTGAGTTTGAGGGTGCGGAAGCAGATATCGTATAAGGCTTCATTGTCTATGCAGTATGTTTCGTCTGTGTTTTCCACCAGCTGATGGACTGACAGTGTGGCATTGTATGGCTCCACTACGGTGTCAGAGACTTTTGGGGAAGGGACCACGCTGAAGGTGTTCATGATGCGGTCAGGGTACTCTTCACGGATTTTACTGATCAATAGGGTGCCCATACCAGAGCCGGTTCCTCCACCCAGGGAGTGAGTGAGCTGGAAACCCTGCAGGCAGTCACAGCTTTCGGACTCCTTACGGACCACATCCAAAACCGAATCCACAAGCTCCGCCCCCTCCGTGTAGTGGCCCTTGGCCCAGTTGTTACCTGCGCCGCTCTGTCCTGTGAGGTGACAGGGAGAAAGTGCACACATCAGAATGTGCAAGCTGAGAGACATTTTACACCTGGTTTTATAATTATTTGCTTTTGCTACTTTCATTTGATATTTTTACATTATATCTCCACATTTTTAACATATTCCCTTTTGCCAGTCACTCACCAAACACAAAGTTGTCTGGTCTGAAGATCTGTCCGAAGGGTCCTGAACGCACAGAGTCCATGGTCCCAGGCTCAAGATCCACTAGAATAGCTCTTGGCACATATTTACCTCCTCCACGAGACACAGAGAGAGAGAGAGAGAGAGAGAGAGAGAGAGAGAGAGAGAGAGAGAGAGAGAGAGAGAGAGAGAGAGAGAGAGAGAGAGAGAGAGAGAGAGAGAGAGAGAGAGAGAGAGAGACATGGGAAAGAAGCAGACCAGCTCAGTACACATAAGAAAATAAATATATAAAATAAATCAAACATGAAGGCTAAGTTGCCATTTTATCTTCAACTTTAGATGTCAATTCAATTCGAAAGTGCTTTATTGGCATGGACAATTGTTCCAATATATTGCCAAAGCATTTCTAATGTTTACAGTAATTCTAGAACAGATGAAAGCAAATGATAAAAATGAATAATTAAATACAACAATCAACTTTTTATGAACACTTTTTGTGTCCATATATTGTGCCGCTAATAAGATACAATCTCTTTTTTCGCCTAAAAAATATTGAAGGTGTGTATTATTGTTTAACTTTCTGAAGCCATGCAGGGTTAATTATTTCTAATTTTGGAGAGAATTTTAGATGTCACCAAGTGTCATCTCAACACATTTATTGAATTGGTATGCTTTAATTACAGCAGTATACATAATTAATTTAGATTTGTGGAGTAAAAATATTGTTTTAATATTGAATTGAAAAATGTAAAACAGACCCTCAGAACTGGGGCAGAATGTTGTTGCTGGTGTAGGTTAATATTGAATAATTTGTCTAATTATTAAATGTAATAATTAAAATAATTGTATTGTATTCTAGAACTAAATTGTCAAAATTAATACTTTTACATTACTTGCTTACAAAGTATTTCACATTAATGATAACTTTTTTAGTTGTTTCCATTTATTTCCCTAATAGTCAACATGAAGCGAAAATTGTGACTGTCTTCTTCTCTATTGTGACATATTTCCAATTCGAATGAGAAAAAAAATGCAGGACTTGACTTGACTTTGTCCATCGGGAGTTGATTGGATCGTTCATTGATTGCTAATTGCTGTGTTAATTTCATGTGAGTGACAGGTTGCAGGAGGAGAGGGATTATCGTCCTGCTTTGCTGGTGAATGCATCATCAGAGAAGAGAAGTGATGTCATAGTGAAGAGGAGGGGCATTACATTTTTTGATGAAAGATTACGGGCCTTTTTTTTAAAATAATGATGTGCACAGATAAATCATTTATAAACTTTACAAAGAACTTTTAATGGGGACACACTGTTGTTAAAGTGTCTTCCCCATCTTCTATCTTAGTAAAGTACCTGTTGCTTCATTGTAGTAGACACTAATTCTATCCAGCTGCAGGTCACTGTCTCCATGATAGGTTCCTGTTGGGTCGATTCCATGTTCATCACTAATGACCTCCCAGAACTGCAAAAAACACACAGCAATTAAAACTGGCATGCAATTCAGTAAATTCTAGATCAATTCTATCTTATTAAACACTGAAATATTGAGAAGCAGTGTCAACTAATCACTAATCTGGAATTGGCTTCAAATGAGTTTTAGCTCCGAAAGAGGCTTTATTGATGTTTAAATCGTTAATTCTATGTTACTCTCCTAGTGACCTTAATCTGAGAGAGAAGCAAGGAGAGAGGGGTCGAGATAGACTTAATAAGGCAGCGAGCGAATGCGAATGGAGAAAGAAAAGATTGTTCTTGGGATATATTGAAAATAATTGTTTTGAAAGAATGAGGCCAATAAACTGGAAGGCGCTGACTGACACCGCCCTACATTGACCCTGTTCTGATACTCTCGCCTATCAAAAACCTGTTACTCCAGGCAACCTACATTTCTGCTGTGTCATCACATAATATCATCATAAAATACCATGCTGACACATATGAAATCAATCGGCTTTACATATTTGACACTCCTGGATACATTTTATTTCGCCAATTAATCCAGCAAATCAAAGGTTTTCCATGTATATGTCATTTACTCGTTAATTATTTGTTTCAGTTAGATCTGTACTGTAGAGGAGATGGGCAGCAGCTGTTAGAGCTATTAAGTTCAGTTGTGGATGCCTCCTCCTCCCCGCCCTGACCTCAGATGAGTTCAACAGACACTCACAATCTCATCATGTGAAAGGCATTTCAAAGTCTTTTAAAGGATAAGGACGATTTAACCCAATTTCTGATGCCACAGAAGACAACATCTCATGGGCAATCTTTAAAAAATGTGCATCTTTAATGGGGCCATGGGTGTGAATATGTCCTTATTGGCAGCTTCCATCTCTATGTTGATGTGGCACAGAATCGGATTTAAAGGAATAGTTCACTTAAAAATTAAAACTCTGTTATCATTTACTCACCCTCTAGTTGTTTCAACCTGTATGAATTTCTTTCTTCTGCTGAACACAAAAGAAGATATTTTGAAAAATGTTGGTAACCAAACAGTTGATGGACCCCACTGACTTCCATAGTATTTTTTTTCCTACTAAGGTAGTCAATTGGGTCCATCAACTGTCTGGTTACCGACATTCTTCAAAATATCTTCTTTTGTGTTCAGCAGAAGAAAGAAATTCATACAGGTTTGAAAACAACTTGATGGTGAGTAAATGATGACAGAATTTTTATTTTTATGTGAACTATTCCTTTAATGGATTAATTGGATATTTTAAATGCATAGATATGGGTAATCCTTATGAGAACAATTACAGTAAAAATAACCTAATTTTAGGGCAAATTAAACAATGACTCGTACAAAAAGCACACTAAAATAACAAGATTTAACTGATTAAGAGTTCATAATTTCACATTATTAACCTTCTTTAATAACAACTACTATTAAAATTGTTCATTGTAGCCTAATTCTCCATCGCCCCACCCTTCCCATCCTCCGCTTGACCATTGACCACAGCGGTCAATTATATCTGCACATAAGATTAAGAATTTAGTCAAAAGCCATAAAATACTTGCTAAAAGTATTTCGCGTGACAATTATGTTAAGGTATGCGGTAGTCAGCGGCGTAGGTTTGATTTTGAAATTGGTGGGGACGGGGACAACAATATATAAATATATTTTAAGTTTTGATCGAAATTATTGCTAGGGATATATCAGTGTCACTGGATATTGGTAGGGACACGTCCCTAGCGTCCCTACTAAATTCTACGCCCCTGGCGGTAGTATAGGCTAATATTAGTGGCATGCACCATGTGTCATGGCTCGCGAGCTGGTACTGACAGCTGTTTAAAGGGCTCGTGACACTGATAACGGGTAGTATAATTACTGAGAGAGCTCTGCTGTTCACATCAGATCCGCCACACCCGGTGCATTGACAAGAATGAAATAAAGAAAGAGGACAGACAGACAGACCCCCCCCCCCTTTCCCACAGTCAATCCCTTCACCCACATCCCTGTTTTACAGACAAAGAGATTTATGGTTAGAGTCTACAGAATGTGAGCATCATTTATTTAGAGAAATAGCTATACAGAGCGTGTTAAAGAAATAGTGAGAATGAATAAAGTCTGGGATCCGCATATTTTGGGCGTAAATGAAGGGGGTTCACAACAGGACAAAGCAGTGTAATGGAAAACAATTCTTAAACATAATGAGTCTATAAAACTGCCCAACGTGTTGCTAGTGTAATGCATTATTAATAATATTTGGAAAGATGTGCAAGGCAAAAAAATAGATCTGTTCTGCATAACAGTGTGCCTTCTAATATGTTCAGAAACAAAATTAAGAGAAACAAATCATGCTGTTTTAGATTTAGTAAAAGCTATAAACTAGTATTACACTGGAGTTCTTTACAGGGGCTTTATTGTTGCATTCTGAGACCTCTGCACAGTATTTTTTCTCTTAGATTCAAAATATTATGACTCACTTTGTACTCTGAAAAACTGTTCTTACCTTGGCACCGATTTGGTTTCCGCACTGACCGGCCTGGATATGAACAATCTCCCTCATTGTTTCAAATTGTGCGAGACGTTCTCAGATAAATCTGGAAAGTAACGGCGTAGCTCAGAAATAATTTGGAAAAGCCGGACAAAGGCTTTATATTCCCGGACTGTCTCCAGAACGAGGCTACGTTGTAGTGGGCGGGGCTCTGCTGGATGTTGAGAAATCTGATTGGTGCATGACCGGACCGGAAGTATATAGGGAGTGTCACTATGGAGTGTCACTGCCACTGCCAACAAGGATTGGATTGCTTGTAGAAAAAGAGAGAAACGTCTGATTGTTGTATCCAGTTGTGCTTTTCTTTATTAAGATTTTTACTAATATTTTTTAAAACAAATCACAGACATGTTTTACATCAGTTTGATCTGTATAGCAACAATAGCTCAAATGTGCGCTTGAACTATTACTCTTCTGAATATGAAAATGTAGCCTACTTATAGCCAGACTCATTGTTATGAGGTTGTATGTATAGGCTATGTTGCACATTCCTGTTTTAACTTATAATTGTTTAACTTTATTTCATGAAGTTTACCCACTATTATTATTGTCACTGTGTGTACAAACTGGGGAGACAGAAAAAAAATACAGTGGCAATTATCATAAAAGTTAAGTTAGCCCAATTCTCACTGAGCTTTCTCGCCTTTCTGCATAGTGGAGTTGATAGAAGAACTAGAGACAGTAAAAAAAATATCAAAGAGATAGCAGACTTTGTTAAGTTAAACAGTGACAAAATAGATCATGAAAAGAATAAAGAAACAAACGGAAAAAAAGTTTAGACTCGATCACCAGTTAGTTACCTTTGGTTTTTGATGAATAGATGCATAGCCTATTTTTTATTTAAGTCATACTTTTAATGTTATAATCATGATCTTTATCTCATAAATATGACAGCTGTCATAATTTTGACTTTTATCTCATAAATTATGACTGTCACAATTTCGTTTTTTTTCATCTCATAATTTTGATTTAGAATCTCATGAATTCGACATTTTGTCATAATTATGTCTTTTTGTGTTATAATTATGATTTACCAAAGCATTTTAAAAGCTTTCATAATGTTCAGATATCTACTACAGTAAATGACGGCGTATTTTTCCTCAGTCCACAGCAGAGAGCAGTCTACGCACTACCTACTCACAGACTGAAAAAATAATCCATGACCGTCGCCAAACCTAGTGAACTACCTATCTAGGCTGCAGTTTACGCATCTCGAACGCTCAAAACTGTAGTCACGGTAGGGAGCTGACAGAGTTTTAAAACACAGCCTGAGTGTTGTGAATGGGCGTGGCCGAGACTGCGTGAATCGTGATTACGAGTACGACGAGCTTTTGCACAAGGGAGACAATCCTGACCACATCTACTTCGTATTTACCGAAATATCAGCAATCGGTAAGAACATATGGTTTGTCTAAATGTTACAGTGTCTGGATTCTCAACACCAAACTAAACTTAAGTGCGCGTGATATGTAGTAGCCGCTAAGGAGCAGTCAAGCATTTCCTGTTCTGTTGCAAAACACATTAGCGTTTCTAAACACGTAACTAGCTTACAAGTTGTTCATTATTCGCGCCTGTTTTGTTAGTGATTCTTCTGTCGTGTCTAGGTTTTATTATGAGAGATACACGTTTATTTATCATTAGTTATCATTAGTCATTTATTAGGCTACTACTTAAAATTCATGTTGATTTTAGTAGTTTAGCCTATTAACGTTACACTGAGTTGGATTATTGATATTTAGAAGCAGATCATTATATCGATTAAATGGGAACTATTTTTACCTTACGGTATATTAAAGTTAATGTTAGTTTTAAAGTAGGCTATATATCATATTTAGGGATATAATCTACTGTAATCAACTGTTGCATAGCGTTATTATGAGATCTCTTCTACTGTAATGTGATGGTTTTTTATTAAGTTTATTGGCTGGTCAACAGGTCTGTGATTTGAATAAAGTAAAAAGAGATGTAGATGTTTTACAGCAAGGCAATGGGAAGTGCAGACTCGCATGATAGACATAAACTACTAGAGTCATCAACATATTCCTCTGAACTCGTGAGATTAACTGGTGCTCTCTGTGTTTACTCAGATGTCATATCTAAAATGTTCCCAGCATGTGTTGATCTAGTGGCTGCTTTCTTTCCTCAGATCTAATTCAAGATGTTTTACACCTGTGGTCCCAATGAGGCTATGGTGATCTCAGGTATGCTGCATCTGTTGGTCTTTATTACGGTTATGTATACAAATAAGTAATGGATCTCCTTGAAGGTTAGAATAAATATACTATATATATAATGATGATAACTGAAAATTAAAGCAGCTGTGAGCCTGTGACTAAGGATTGGCACCCGTCAGACTTTATCAATAACCCGTAGAGTTCTGTAGTGATTTTTTGGATCAATGATTTTGTGCAATCTGGATTCTTTTTTAAACAATGACCAAATGCAGAACTGGTTTCAGCTATTCATGTGACTTTCATTCACAGGTCAAAACAGACACAAAGTTCACTGTAATGGTTGTGATATTTTGTGTACCGGTAGATAAATGTCAGTGGTTACACATTAAGATGACTTTAATGCTCGGGGCGGAAAAAAACCCAGCAGGCTCACATTTACTATAACAACAAGGTTAATGTAGGCAAACCGCACTGTACAAAGGGGAAGAAAATAAGTCACCAGCTCCATTATGTCTCTGTCGCCCTTGTTCTCTCTGTAAACAGTTGACAAGCTGCTGGAGACATGCAATGACATGAAGTGTGCTTATGAGTTACTTTTCTAATGTTGGAAATCATGCAAGGGATTGACATTGCTTTTTAAAGGGAGATAGATTTTTTACCGTTATTTGTTAAAAGTGGAGGATTTTCAGCATTGTAATGTTAAGATGACGACATGCATTTCTCTGTTGTTAAACTAGAAATGTCTTGATAGTAATAGCAAATGATTCGTACAATGGTTGGCTGTTCTAAAAAAAATATATATATATATTTTTTGCATGTAATTTAAAACATAGGACTTGTAATAGGAAATATATACAAAATATTTGTTCAAATGTTTGGGATTTTTTTAATGTCTCTTATGTTTACCCAGACTACATTTATTTGATCAAAAATACAGTAAAACAGTCATATTGTAAAATATTAATTCAATTTAAAATAACTGTTTTCTACTTGAATATATTTAAAAATGTAATTTATTCCTGTGATGGCAAATCTGAAATTTAATATTTTGATTTATATCTCAAGAAATATTATTTAGTGTTATCAATGTTGAAAAATGTTTTTGTGCTTTATAATATTCTAACATTGGAATCCTTGATGCATTTTTTTCTGGATCTTTTTTTAATGAATAGAAAGTTCAAAAGAACTTTTAAAAGAGCCTCAACATTTATTTTGAAATAATCAATTTTGTTACAATATATGTCTTTGCTATCACTTTTGATCAATTTAATGTATTTTTGCTAAATAAAAGAATAATTATTTCAAAAAAAATCTAAACTTTCATGGCCTGTAAAAAGTATTTATGGCCTGTAGCCCATATAACAAGCCAGTATTAAATAACCAGTATTGATCAATGCCTATGTTGTGTATCCCTGTAGATACACAATATAGGCATTGATCAATACTGGTGCATTTACCCCTATTTTTACCTTTAGATGATACATATTTAAAATTTAATAACACTGTTAAATGTGCATTTTCAGCAAATCTCAAAATGAATATTACATTTTCATACTTAACATTATTATGTTCTGATGCCTAAATTCACTTCTAGCATTTAAAAATGATTGATTTTAGTTTTTAATGTTTTATTTTTAATTTATTTAGACAAAATAGTATTACATTATATTATTGACCATTTATCAGTTATCGGCTATAACATAATAAAGTAATTATCGACTTATCTGTATTGGCCAGACTTTTAATATCGAAGCATCCCTGTTGTTGTGATATTTCTGTGATATAAAATAGATATAATTTAAGATTTTGGACACATCTCCCTCCCCTAGCCAGTGGATTTTCAAGATTCCACCAAGAATGTTTTTAGTCAAGTATTTAGTCAAGTAAAACTCTCATCTCTTTCAGGATGTGGTCGCTCTCCTCCCCTGATGATTGCTGGTGGAAGAGTGTTTGTTATTCCCTGCATTCAGCAAATCCAGCGGTATGTATTGAATTACAATAGAAGGCAGATGATTACAACATGTTAGTGCCTGAACACACGTGCATTGGAACCATTCTGTTTAACCAGACGCTGCAGGGCCAGTCTCTAATGTGATTCAAGAATAGACTGGGACAAGAGGCGGCTCTGTGTGCAGTAGAGACTCCACTTGTGTTTACATTCCTCTCCACGTATACATGGCGAAAATGAATGAATCATCCGTTCCTCAGAGAGAATACCTTCATTCCATTTTGTAGATCGCTAGAGATCAGTGCAGTAGTTTGTGGATGAATTTGCATTAGTCTGTCCATAATCTGATTACTGTACATCAACATTCACGTCTGTGGCCAGACGGGATTTAAACTTTGTCGACTGAAGACCCTAGTTTAGTTTGACGACAAAAAAACGTACTAAGCGCAATGTTCTCTCACAATTCCTGATTTCTAACACGCACTAAAGCTGTGTGCGTTTATAATTGCGCAAGCTTATTTCGTCCATTAGATCGAAAGATCTGAAAAGCCCATACATTTACCCGCCCATAAACCCTCCCCTCGAAGAAATCAGGACAGAAGTGGTCGAAAGTGGACAAAAGAGACGGATTAAAACACCAGGTGTAAACGGGAATATGTCTCCCTCATCTACTTGTAATCCAAACGAAGTGGTACACACTGCAGTCAAATGACGTCCAGCTCCACCTCTCTGGAATGGGGTGGATGGATAGAGTTGTGGGAAGAGTTAGGGTGTAGTTGGCAGTGATGGAGTACTCGAGTCCTGGACTCGGACTCCAGTCCTTATTCTCTGAACTCGAGTCCGACTCGAGACTCCATTCTCTGGACTCGTGACTCGACTTGGACTCGCGGACTGATGACTAGTACTTGGACTCGGACTCGAGAATATATAAAATCGGACTTGAGCATTCATCAAATGAATGACGTTGTTTCTGACTTAATGGATTATAAAAATTTTATATAAGATGTTACACTTTTCCTGTTTCGGGGTCCAAGACCGGTGTTGTGCCGAATTTCGACCCCCGCCAAATTATTACCCCCCTAGCATTGGTAGGTTTAGGATTGGTTGTGGGGGAGGGGGTAGGATTAGGGGCTGGGTTGGGATTAGGCAATCAGGTACTGACTTCAACAAGGGGGGTAATAAATTGGCAGGGGGTCGAAATTAGGCACAACACAGGCCGTGATCTATTGTTTCCCTCACAGACCTCCTTGCTTGACAACACACTCACTGACGTCACTCACTTTACGCTGCATTCTCGTGCATTATTCGCGGGCTAAATGTTGACAGAGATAACGTAACACTCATTTAACACTAGATAAGTTCCTCTACATCTAATCAGCTATTTTGATTTTAGCACGCTTTGCAGCAGCTGAGTTGACCACTAAGGAGCGAATGTACAGTGACGTGACATAACTGCCAGATTTAAACTGTGCTTTCGTGCTATGGCTGGCGCTGAGCCAAAGTCGGAGGCGCTCAGCGCTTAATCCCGCTTATCATACAATAACACAATTATGTTTATTTTAGCTAACAAACTAGACGGCGACCTTGACTATGTCACACATCGCAACCACTCTTTACCTGCGGAGTTACAACTGCTTATAGCACTGCATTTTCTGTTTTTTGCCGCAGTTACATTGGGATTTAGTTTGCTTTTCAAAATTTCAAAATTGTTTTTCTTTTACCATATTCGTCAAGAAGAATGCATTTCTCCTCCTCTGTCCAATTAGGCTTTCTTTTTTGTTTTGTGTTGCAAAGTGTATATGTCAAATCAGCAAATAAACTCCCTTTTCAATCGTGACAGTGGTGTCATTTTTGTTCAATGTAGAACCTCTTTTATAAATTTTATCAGCTCTTTAAAGGTGCCAGAGTGGAGACATGTAGGCACTGGGGGCTCGAGACTCGACTCGGACTCGAACACGGGACTCGAGACTCGACTCGGACTTGAACTCAGGTAATGGTGACTCGACTTGGACTCGGACTCTTCTATGGTGACTCGGACTTGGACTCGGACTCGAACACTGGGACTCGAGACTCGACTCGGACTCGACAGTTGGTGACTCGACTACAACATTGGTAGTTGGATATTCTAGCTCTACCCATTAGGCCCAAATTACATTCGCTCCTCCTCACTGGATGTCTAGCTAGACGTAAGCTCCACCCATTTGCTCGGCAGTGGGCAGCCTCTTTATTGAACAAGGTGCAAACCGGTCCAGTGTGAGTAAGTTCAGTCATCAATCATGATGTGTAGCTACGAAACTTCTGTTCCAGCATAATGTGTAGATATATGTGGGTGTGGTTTGGGGGCGGAGCCATCTGTTTGTCCAAATAATGGGAGTCGATGGATATGTTTGGGAAACCTGTTTGAGAAACCTGTTTCATGCCGACTTAAATGTTTTACAGCTGTTTTTCTTTTCTCCTAGGATCTCTCTCAATACTCTGACTCTGAATGTAAAGAGTGAAAAGGTCTACACCAGGCATGGAGTACCGATCTCAGTGACTGGCATTGCCCAGGTTAGAGACACACACACTTTACGGTCATCTGTCACATCAGTTTTACAGTCCGTGAGTGCTGTTATTTATGTCTTCTGCAGGTGAAGATTCAGGGTCAGAATAAAGAAATGCTGGCTGCAGCCTGTCAGATGTTCATGGGGAAGTCTGAGACTGAGATTGCTGAGATTGCCCTGGAAACCCTTGAGGGACATCAGAGAGCCATTATCGCCCACCTGACTGTGGAGGTACTGTGAGATGCTTAAAGAGTTATTTGTGTTCTGTATCAAACACACACAGAATGGAAGAAACGAGCTTTTTATAAGAACATTTCAAAGAGGACCGGAGGGTTTTAGTGCTGAAATAAACAAGCAACCTCTGCTGACTGAGATATGTGGTGTGCTACTAACTGTACTGGTGTGCTACTAATCAGTTTTCTGATTATTTGTTATTTATTGATTATTTGTTACTCTTTGTAGGAGATCTACCAGGACCGTAAAAAGTTCTCTGAGCAGGTGTTTAAGGTAGCTTCTTCTGACCTGGTCAACATGGGGATCGGTGTTGTCAGCTACACGCTCAAAGATGTGCATGACGATCAGGTGATATTATGCACCTCACACCCTAAACAAACGCTATTTTTCCAAAGTTTGGGGTTGGTGGGATTTTTAATGTTTTTTAAAGGAAGTCTCTGATGCCCAAGGCTACATTTGTTGGATTAAAAATACAGGAAAACGGTCAGTAATGTTTTCATTTAAAAAAAAAACTTTTTTTCCATTTTAATATATCTTCAAATGTAATTTCTTCTCGTCAAAGCTGAATTTTCAACAGCCGTTACTCCAGTGTCACATGATCCTTTAGAAATCATTCTAATATTCTGATTTGGTGCTCATGAAACATCTCTTATTGTTAATGTTGAAGACAGTTTAGCTGTTTAACATTTTTATGGAAACCATGGTACATTTTTTCAGGAGTCCGTGGTCGATATACAGGTGAAACTTGAAAAATTTGAATATCGTGCAAAAGTTCATTTATTTCAGTTATTCAACTTAAAATGTGAAACTAATATATTATATAGACTCATTACATGCAAAGTGAGATATTTCAAGCCTTTATTTGTTATAATTTTGATGATTATGGCTTACAGCTATGAAAACCTTTTCACAATATTCTAATTTTGAATTTGGGGTTTTCATAAGCTGTAAGCCATAAGCATCAAAATTATAACAAATAAAGGCTTGAAATATCTCACTTTGCATGTTATGAGTCTATATAATATATTAGTTTCACATTTTAGGTTGAATTACTTAAATAAATGAGCTTTTGCACGATATTCAAATTTTTCGAGTTTCACCTGTAAAGTTAAAGAGAACAGCATTATTTGAAATCGAAATCTTTTATATAATTATAAATGTCTTTACTGTCACTTTTGATCAATTTAATGAGTCCTTCCTAAATAAAAGTATTATTGTTTTCCAAAAAAATCTTACTGTCCCCAAACTTTTTAAAGAGTAGTGTATATTCATAATAATACATACACCCTAGTATGAAACTCACCCGGACTCTCTCACAGGATTATCTAAGCTCGCTGGGTAAAGCTCGTACTGCTCAGGTGCAAAAAGACGCTCGTATCGGTGAAGCTCAGTTCAAGAGGGATGCCGTCATCAGGGTGAGATTTTTTTTTTCATATTCCTGTTGTCATTTAATGTTTTTGGATAAAACTGAATGTATGTGTTTGTGTGTGTAGGAGGCTCACGCCATGCAGGAGAAGGTCTCTGCTCAGTATGTAAATGAAATTCAGATGGCTAAAGCGCAAAGAGACTTTGAGCTGAAGAAAGCATCCTATGACTATGAGATCAACACCAAGAAGGCAGAGTCTGAAATGGCCTATCAGCTTCAGGTACCAAATGATATTCAACTTGGTTTCCAGCTGGTAAAATGAGGATTGCCACTTTACATCAATTCATATTTTAGGAATTTCAAGAAAAACAGCAATTAAAGCCCCTTTTGGAGCCCGTTCACACCAAAAGTAAAATGAATAAGCCTCAGGCTGAAGAAAATGCAAATTCACGGCTGTACAGTAGAGGGCACAGCTCAAACAAACCTGGATTGCTGAATAATAGGATGCAGGAGAAGAAAGTTCAACATTCTTAAAATGAAAATAATGCAACAAAAAAAAAGAAACACAAATGTGATTTTTGTCTAAAACCATTTAGAATGGTTGAATTGGATCATTGAAGGTGAGCAGCAAATGTATTGGTTAATAATGTGAGATTAAATACATAAAGTATATTTATGTAATGTAACATTTAATTATTGTAGGTTTGCGTAATATTCTGAGTTAACCTTATATAAATAAGAGGTTACATCCATCATTCATTTTGAGAGATAAAATGCAGGACAGAAAGCCATAACACATCAAATGAATGAATTTTAAAGAATAAATAATACATAAATAAGGTGACCTTTTCCTATTATAAAATTTGTTGTCATGCTGAACTGACCATGTGAGAAGTGCATTTCTGGGTTTGTAGAGAACTCACTCTTCTCACTCCTTACAAATGTCCCCATAAGAAACTATTACCATCCGAAATGGGGCTTAAAGCCCAAGTATACTTCGAACCCGGACACATAGCCTTTCAAAGTATACTCCATTTAATAGCGTTCGCGATACATGCGCTCTAGAAAATTTGTCCAGTGTCTGTATTTTTTTTCTCCAGAAGTTAGTACCGCTAAATGTCTTTGTATTCTTTTAAAACAAAGTTGCAGCTATCTCATAACCCCTCACACAAGAGCTTGTCAATGCGGTCATCTGTTGTTGTTGTAGTGTCTGGTATTTTGTTGTTGTTGTTAAATTATTTCTGTGAAACAAAAGCCCAGGCCAGTGTTGCCACCTATTGAAACAACTGATTAGGGCAAAACAAATTTAATGCACATGCGGTTACAATAATCAGGCAGCGTGTTTATTATTCTGGTGATGAAATTTGTGCCAAGCTCCTTTCTCGCGGACCCTTGCGTATGTGTAAAAAACCGAAGTATACTTTGGGCTTGAGTTACGTCTACTGACGTTTTTACCCACTGTCATTTGATTTAGGTGGCCAAGACTAAGCAGCGTATCGAGGAGGAGAAGATGCAGGTTCAGGTTGTGGAGCGTACGCAGCAGATCACTTTACAGGAGCAGGAGATCACCCGCAGGGAGAAGGAACTGGAGGCCAAGGTCCGGAAACCAGCCGACGCTGAGAGATACCGTATTGAGAAGATCGCTGAGGCAGAACGGTGAGAAACTGATGCAGTGATAGTGATACACACAAACATCGAAATCCAAAGGTTTTCTGTTTTGGGTTTTGTCTACTTTAACACACATTTGTGCTTTGCTGGAAGCAAATCTAAAGAATAAGATTCTTATATATATATATATATATATATATATATATATATATATAAAATCTTGAATTATGATAGCTTGGTATCATAATCTCAAAAAACCTTTTCATCTCCTCTAACAGGCTTCAGTTGATCATGGAGGCAGAAGCTGAGGCAGAGTCCATCAGAGTGAGTTCATGAATCTCTCCACATCTGTTTTTCGCCAGTGACAATGAGCGTTACTGTTTGCATAAGACACATGTTACACGACGTACACCTTTAATCCTTTCACCCGCCAGCATTTTATTTTTTTATTTGCCAGCCACATCAGCATTTTTGATCATTTTCACAAAAATTATAAGGCCTCCAGATTATTTTTTGTGTGAATTTCTAAACATGCAATATATCAAAAGAAAGAACAGACCCTCTGCTTTTAAACAAATTCTGTTCCATGCATTCCTTTTTTTATCAACTCTTGAATATGGGTTAGTTTCATAAAAAAAGCAACATTTTGAGCAAAAAGCAGAGAAACATGCTAAATCAGACTATATCCAGATAAGATTCTCCACCAGTAAGCTAGTGTGTGGTGAGCGTTCTGGCGCAATATGGCTGCCGTCGCATCATCCAAGTGGATGCTGCACATTGGTGGTGGTTGAGGAGATCCCCCCCTCTATGTAAAGCGCTTTGAGTGCCTAGAAAAGCGCTATATAAATGTAATGAATTATTATTATTATTAAGATTCAGGATGATCAAAACATATATGGAGTAGATCGAGTCCATCAACACCCCTAATGCTTGCACAGTCCTTTAGCTCGTCTTGGGTTGACATTTCATTCAGTAACATTAGGCAGTTTTGATTTGCATCTGCTTACATATGATATAGTTTGTTTCTGCGTGTTTTTCATCTGTCTTTTGATCAGGAGATTCAGTACTCCTTCAGAAAATGCCTAATAGCGCCCCCTCCTGTATAATAGTGAAAAGGACAACCTGGAAATTTCAATCAATGGCGGGGAAGCGTTTTCTCACAACGTACGGAAATTTCCGTTAATGTCGAGGAAAGAGCCAGCTGTACTTAAAGTGAAATCGAAAAACTAACTGGTGTGACGTCATTTCAAACAAAATCAAGCCAAAGTAAAGTTCATTTTGGGAGTTCAAAACTCTTTTTTCGTTTGTGCTATTTTTTATTTTGTTACTGAGAGGAAAGCGCGCAGCATGAGCAGAGTCAGGATGTTCGCTAAAAGTATATCCTTACAAAGGTATTTTAAACTTATTTTTACCTCTAAGCAAAAAAAGAAAAAGAACTTTGCAGTGAGTATATCAGGGCCTTTAGACTATTTAACACATTAGACATTAGACTCTCATTCTTCATCTTTTTCTGTCTCTGTTTCAGATGAGGGGAGAGGCACAGGCCTTTGCGCTGGAGGCGAAGGGTCGGGCTGAAGCCGAGCAGATGACCAAAAAGGCAGAAGCTTTTAAAGAGTACAAAGAGGGAGCCATGGTGGACATGCTGCTGGAAAAACTCCCGCTGGTTAGTGCATCTGAACTTCTGAATGTCATTAAATAAATTCAATGATAAGATAACAGTCAATAATGTTAAAAGGCCATTTGTCCTCCACTGCTCTAGATGGCAGAAGAGATCAGCAGGCCACTCTGTGCAGCTCAGAAGATCACCATGGTGTCCAGCGGTGGGTCAGAAGTGGGCGTTGCTAAGCTGACTGGAGAAATTCTGGAAATCATGACTCGCCTGCCGAGCGCGGTGGAGAAATTGACTGGAGTGAAAATCTCACAGGTTACCTCACCTGTAAGTTAATGCCCGTAAATACACAAACCAACACATTCTCACCTGTGAAAGGTTATCCCATTTCATTTTTAAATCTAGTTGGGTTCGCAATGTTGAACTGTGAGTGATGACACGCTGACCGCTCCAAAATGGCAGGCGTATCAACGTGTCTAGAGCAGTCCAATGTGGCATCTACGTATACATATCTGTGCCGCTCACACTGACAGCAATTAAATCACTGTATTCAGCAGGCTCTCCTGTAGTATCAATATCTCCATTCCCATTGGTAGTTGCCATCATTTTCTGTTGCATCATCAACGTTCTCTTTCACTTATGTCACTGCCAATGACCAACAGCTAGGTGATGTAGCTTAAAAAAAAAAAAAATGTTAACATAAGTAATGTAATATAATTATAATCAGTGTGTGTGTGTGTGTATATATATATATATATATATATTATAATTATATTTATATATAAATGTTGATGTATACAATTATGTATATTTTATTTATATTTTACATTAATTATATAATCATGCCATCATTTAATCATATGCACCTGTATAACAAAACATAATAACAAACCAGTGTTTACCAGTATTTTTTTACCAACATTTTAATACATGAAAAATGCCAATCCTTAAATCAGAGTTTTAAATCTAATCATTGTCATTTACAAATGCAATCTGTTCTGATTCAGGGATATGTATCAAACTTAACAACTCTCACAATGTATTGGCTAAAGTTTAAATCAGAGATGGTAATAAATGTATATTAAACATAATGGCTAAATAAATAGCACATTTAAATCTTTGCAGTAAATCTAATTTAAATCTTTCTGTGTGAATGCCATTCACATTCATCACATTGAATATTTTGGTATTACATTGGTGTAAAACACCTGGGGCCTCATTTATAAACGTTGCGTACGCACAAAAGAAGGCGTACGCCGCTCTCTACGCAATAATTGGTATTTATAAAAAGCAAACTTGACGGGAAAATGTGCGGTCCTTCACGCAAGCTCTGACCCAGGCGGACGCACAAAAACGGGTGAAATGAGAAATGGCGACACCGTCGGCAGATGGAAAAAACACGTGAAAGTGTGTGTAAGTGTGTGAAAGTGTAGACCGTTGTGTAAAAGAAATGGCAATACTGCCTCTCATAAATAAAATGTGGCTTCACAAAGCAAGTCTTACAATTAACAGCCTACACGAACACCCGTTTGATCGATCTGCAGTGTAAAACAAACAAAATCAAACAAAGATTACATAACAACAGAAATGCAAATTAACACATATTTGCAAAAAGAAAAGTGAAATATGTTCTGCAATAATATTGGCTTGTTATGCAATTCATCCTCATAACACATCTGTAGCTTGTCAGATGCAATCAAATAGATGGTAATAAAATGTCATGATGCCATCACAATACGTAATGGAGCGCTAGACGCTTTTTTGCATCGACTTTGATGTCCGACTATTTATTTTTTCACGGTCCACGGTTGTGAGGCTGCAGCATTAACGGCGTCTGCAACCTTTTGCCACTCAAGTGCCTTTTTGGCATTACTATAGTAATGCCCACACTGCATGCCCTCCAAACAACATTTTACTCCTCTTTTCCACCTCGCCAACGATCATTTCTACTTCACATTGAGTGAAGTTACGTTTCTTTGTTTTCCTCTCTGTATTTGCCATGATTTCGCAATCGATGAATATCAAATTGTGGGCGTTTCACGGACTATTTATGGGCAACTATGGGCGTGACATGAAGCCGCAAAAGCTGCGCAACATTTAGAATTGATTGTGATTTATTAAGGGAAAACTGCGTAGGATGTGCGTGCGCACGGTTTTATAAATCCGAATATTTCTGTGCGTACGCACGTCCTATGTTTCATCCGTACGCCACTTCTGACGCAAATCCTACGCAAAGTTTTATAAATGAGGCCCCTGGTTTCCACTCCAGACACACCAAATGTGGATGTTTTTTTCTTTTCTTTGGCCAGGCTGGTTTAACCCGAATGGGCTAATGGAGTCAGATGAAGAAGGAATCAAGTCTGATCAGCTCTGATTGTGGATCTCAGCGCTTCCTGTGTGTGTGCGCATGTGTGCATGCCTGTGTTTGTACTGAACTTAGAACATTGAGGTCATGTTTTTTTTTTTTGTAATCAACCATTTGTAACAGTCAGTTTTTATATTCTATTTTGTGAATTTTATGATTTTATCACATTCTATTATAATTTTATACATTTATTAGGTGAACTACATCATCTACTCTAGAGCCTCTGTTAATAGTGAATATTCAGGGAAGCAGGGTTGGTCTTTTCATTTTTGAATAGTTTCTGTCTGTTAGAGCCACACGCCTGTTGATTCTGGTTCAGTTCCTTTCTAAAACCAAAGTGCATTCCAGACCAATGCATGTAAATTCACCTCAAGTGCATTACTGAAGCCATAGTCCGCATGCATAATGCCTTCCGTTTCCAGACACTGAAATGTGACGCTTTATTCTTGCCGTTTTAACCCTCTGTGACTATATGTTCTGAGAATATATTGTCCGGTGGTTTCATACTTTTTCTTTTCAACAGTGGCACTGAAGTTTGCAGACATTTTGAAAAATGATTTGTAATGTAAGTCTTTTTTTTTTTTTTTGTTAATCAGGCCACTTTCCCTTAAACAGGTCTGTGTGCTCAGGTGAGGGATTTTTTACAGCAAGTTGAAAAGTAAGAGGGGTGGGAAGTGAGTGCAGAAAAGAAACCTGATGATTTTTGAAGTTGATGAACAAACAGGAAAAAGAAGAAGAGAAAACAAGGTTAGGTTTTTAACACAGGCCGCAAGCATGTCTTTGTGCCCACAGAAACTGAAGTGAAGGCTGATTGTGGTTTCATTTCTCGTATCATTTTCCAATGGTTGCAAAAAAAAAAAAAAGTTACTGTTTTGGTTTTACCATGCTGCTGTGTACTTCACACTAAAATTGACTCAACATTACCAGAGGTAAACCTATGCATCTCCAGTTTACGCCTTCAAAGTGCCTCAAAGCGACATTTAACTGACAGCAACCTGCTCTGATCTCTAGTGTTTCAGCAACAGGAACAGAACTGTGATATGTCATGTGATACTTCCTTGCCCTAATGACTAATTTCATTTAGAATATTACATTTTTTTGCCATTAGTTTGTTTTCATTGGCTTAAAACCTTGTTTATATATTCAACAAACTTACCCAATATTTGCCTTATTGTATGTTCAACGGTGAAGTAGATATTTCGCCTTAAATTGTAGATCTATATATATCCAGGCTGAGATTTATACATATGATTATACAAGTAAGTACTGTTTAATAAAAACAATAAACTATTAGCATGTGCTCTACTTTAAAACTTGTGTGGAAGTGTATGTTTTCACAAATTTAGTTGTGAAATCACGTACTACTCAAAATGAACAAATTGTAAGTGAAAATGATCATCGGATTTCACTTTATTGGAAAAGGTTACTTTATTAAAACACCTACAAAAAGAGACAACACAGGCAATTACACTGACTAACACAGGCAGGGAGTCGAAAACAGAGACAGACAGACCCGATTAATAACAGATAGCAATATTAATGAAGAAAATTATGTCCCATGAATTATTTACAGTTTTCATTATTTAAGAAACATGAATAGCTGTGGACAGAACATGCCCAAAACTATTTATAAAAATAAAACAAAAGTTCAGGCCTCAGTGTACCAAAAAAGGTTAAAGGTCATTCAATTAGCATAATCGGGATTGGCAACATAACCTTTGGGAATCACATTCTTCTGTGTATATTACAGTAAATGTTACTTATGTTGCTCTCCACCACACCTACACAGACAGTCTTCCTCTTAAATGAGGATGAGGTGGCGTCACCACACCAGTTTCAAGTTAAATGTACAGTCTGCAGTCACCGAAACCATCACTGAGATTAAATGCAATTACGCACTGTTGCTTTAAGAGTTTCTTTGCAATTGTCCCACAGGTTTACATAGTAAATTCAGGACAAATGCTTTGGTTATTTTTCTATTTTCTTAGTTTATCTCCTTTTCTCTTTATAAACAATACATTTCTTATTGGTATAAATTTACATTTCTGTGGCCATTCCGCATGTTCCCCCCGCCCCCCTCTCTTTCTCTCACTATTTACTTTCCAGGCCCATTCATTTCAATTTCAGGCAAGTCCAGGCTCATATCGAGTCCTTTCAAATAGTGCATTGCTAGTACATTTCCATACATCCCATCCCAAAAGTCTAGTTTAACCCAGCACATACTGGCACCAACAAGTTCATGATCTGCGTTCAGCTTAGTTCAAGTCAGTTCACGAAAATGGCAGGTCAATTACAAAACTATCTAGTCATTTTCTGTGCCATCAAAAATGATAACTCACATTCACACTTAAGGCCAGTTTCACAACAAGAACTATATTGGCGTCCACACCGACGGATAATAACTTCATGTTGTGTGAGATGAGGTTATGTTGTCTGCTGCTTTAAATGTTTGAGCTCTTTAAACTTGAGTGGATTCTGATTGGCTGTCAATGTTTTTTTTATAGTTAGAGCTCTGGTGTGGACTTCCCTATTTTCATAGAATTAGCTATTGTCCTTGGTGTGAATGAGCCTAAAGGGACCATTTATATGCGGACAGAAAGGAGGTGGACTCACAAATATCCATCCTCTAATTCACCGCAATTTGACAATATCGTGTCATAAGCCTGTTTCACACATCAGCTATTTTGTTGTACATAATTATAGTACATTGTGTCATATTTGAAAACACTGGAAGCTCTTCAACATTCGTTTTTGACAATCGTCGAACTCCAAGAGGTCCAATGACTCATGAATTTGCCCTTGTATGGGATTCCACCGTTACAATGATTCAACAAAACCTCATTTAATATCATTGAAAAGAAAACGTCCCACTCAATGTTAATGTTTAGTGATGATGAATTACCCTCCACCACAAAAAAGACTGAAAAACTGGCTGATACATTTTCTACATGACCACAAATGGTAGCAAAGTTAGACTGTTAAAATGTTATTCACTATTATTACTTAAATATGCAAGTAGAAAAAACTATTTCTGTATTTCTTCTATAAGTTTCAATATGCATAATCAATAATTTGTCAAATGCTGCCTGAAGAAAACTACGACTAAATAGACAGTTTGTAGAGCCGTGTGCTTTTGTGCTGCCTGTTATCTACCTATAAAAACCCTCCACCAGTTCCTACGATTATGTTTTGAGATCTATTCAGTGTTCAGGGAATGAAAAGACAGTTTTGATACATGTAACAGGACCAGGATTTAAGGTTCAGAGGCCAAGCAGCATTTTATCCCCAAATCAATTTCATATTATTCCTGTATCCTGTTAGCCCGTTGTCAGAGCTTACTCATCATAACGGAACCTGACAGAACCATTTACACAGAGGTTTCATTCTCAGGTTCGGATAAAAGACAGAGGAATGCCAATTATGTGGTGCATTTTGAGAAATATGAGCTCTGTGAAACCAAATACTGGGGAATAGTGATGTGGCAAGTATGAATAGTGAGGGAACAGAGAGCCTAAAAATGAGTTGGGGATAAAATGTTGCTTGAAAAGTTCAGGATAAGGGATGAGAAGCGGGTCATTAAGGGGCACCGAACCTGCGGCTTTTGTTCGCCCCATCCCATCAAAAAAAGACACTAATTTACATAAGAGTGCTTAGCCGTGTCTGCTTAAGAACACACCACCTGTCTGTGGTCCACACACACTTTCTTACATTCTTCCTCTCTTCATCTCCGTCACTCTCTAAACCATGTTCATTGCGTCTTCTGTGAGGAAGGAGTGAATGTACGCAAAGGAAGGCCGTAGTTTACAGTCTCTGTTCCAGCAGCTAAGCATCAGCTCATACAAACCCTGTGGGCAAACAGCGGGGCGAGACAGGTACACCTGATGAAGAGAGAGAGAGAGAGAGAGTTTGGCTACGCTTATTTTTTTTTCATAAGGGTTAATAAGTGTTAGAAAATATACACATACCTGTCTGCCCTGGTCTCTGAAAAACTCCCCTGCGTTGTCAATGACCTGTTCATCGGTCATGTGACTGTACGGTTGCTCTTGACACACACTCAACATCTCCCACAGTGTCACGCCAAATGCCCACACGTCACTCGCAGTGGTGAACTTCCCCTACACACAGACGCGCACACACACACATACAAAAAAAAAAAATGCCTGAGATGAAGGGCACCAGTATTGTGTATTGCATGAATGACATGTTGCTTATGTGACTTATATATAGGGGGGTCCAAAAAAGAAATATGATAAAATGATATTAAAGATTTGTGACAGTAAGCATGTGAGCTCCTTTGTACATATAAGATAAATGTTAATACACATTTTATATCAAATATAATACGTCTGATAATAAATTATAAAAAAATTAGTGCTGGGCAAGTTAACGCGTTATTATCGCGTTAACGCATTTATTAATTAATGCCGACAATTCTTTTATCGCGCGTTAACGCAGAGGTTTTTTTTATTATTATTTTGAAAGTCCGTTGCTCACTGCCTCTGAATACACATAGGCCTACAGTCAAACCATGATCACAGGAGGGGTGGGATGTTGGTCAGCCAGCAAATAACCCACCCAAACAAGCAGTGGAGAGGCTTTGGCAGGTTCTCTCAGGTGAACAGAAAGGGAGACAGCGCTCCGCGAGTGAATGACAGGCGCTCTTAGTAACCATGGCACCGGCTTCTGTGCGCTACGCAGCTGTAGCCTTTTTAACTTAAATTAAAATTATACATAACTTTACCTGATAGGCCTGCGTTTAGTTTAGCGGGGATGCTCTGCCATGTGAATTCCCTCCTGTTGATGTCCTGATAACTATTTAGATTCTGGAAACTCACAAACAGCGAGCCGAGGATCAGTCTCTCTTCCAATGATTTGTGCTGCGCGTCGTGTACAAAAAAGTTAGACAATTCCACTTCGGCAACGCGCGGGCGCGTGCGTGAGGCGAGCATGACTGCAACAGTTTCACAGGAACGCACCCGCTTGTCGCTGCACCAGTGCTCGACCACTTCACCTCACTCTAGGCTGATTTATACTTCTGCGTCGGACCTACACCGGAGCCTCTCTACGCTATAGACTACGCGTTGGTTTTCATTTATATATCTGCGTCGTTGTCCGCGTTGACGCGCAATTACACATGAGGGAGAGTGTGAAACCCGGGGAGCGGTTCTAGCAATCACAGCGCTTGCA